CTGGAGTTTGAGGCCGATCGCCGAGCCATCAACATTACCCTCAACTCCTTCGGCACCGAGTTGACCAAGCAAGACCGCAACAAGCTCTACCCAACTTTTGGAAAGCTGTATCCGGAGGGCACCTTGATGCTCTCTAGAGCAGATGACGTCGAGGGCGTTCGCCTTGCAGTGGATGGCGTTCATGACTACAAGACTTTCTTCGATGCCGTGTCCCTGGGCGGCTCATCTGGTCCTGGTAACATGGGCGGTGGCTCTGCTGATGGTAAGAGCCTGGAGGACTTGTTCTACCAGAAGGAGATGGAAATCTCCAAGGACGCCTTCACACGGCAATTCACCTATGCCATTATTTATGCATGGGTCAAGCTTAGGGAGCAGGTATGTTTCCTGTCACTGTCCATGGAAGAACTACGGACACAGATCAAAGAAAGGGCTGGGGCCGCTAACCTGTTACAGGAAATTCGCAACATCACATGGATTGCTGAGTGCATAGCTCAAAACCAAAAGGACCGCATCGGAAACTTTATCAGTGTCTTCTAAGCGGGTCATAGATTGATGGTGTCGTTTTTTTGGGGCAAATTGCGAGTATGGGAGTCTTGATGGAGTAATAATACGTCGTTTTGTTTCGCTTTCGAGTAATCGCACGGAAAGGTTCGTTCAGACTAGGCGCATATGGAAGAGACGAATGATTGACATGGGCAATTACGCATCCTCTGATGGGCTCTATTGTACATATACAGATGCTTAACTATTCCTACAAGAAGTTTTTCTTGGTTGCCTTTTCGTTTCTTTTATATCTTCAAGTCATCCTCATCCTCACAGATCGATCTGTCCCTTCCACGTCGCTGGTGTGAGACCCAGCTTCTCAAGCATGTTTGTCCACCTCTCGCTGCCCCTCTCCTTGCGCTCCATGTACTGAAGCAGCTTCTGGCGCCGGTGTACAAGCAACCGCAAATTTCTCTTGTTGTGCTTGTCTTTGTAGCCTCGGTTGATGGCCAGCATTTCCGACACCGATCGAATCTTGGCCGTCAGGATGGCAATCTGCACCTCGGAGCTGCCAGTGTCCGGACCGGCACGGCCAGGCATCGGCGTGGTGTTGGGCGAGATGGACTGCGGCTTGGGCTTGAGGTGCTTATCCGTGTTGTGGCGCCCAAACTCGTCGATGATGCGCCGGACGTTGGCGTGGAATCGGTCTCGTGCGCTGCCGTTGCTCAGGGACGTGATTCTCCGCAGGGCCTCGACGGCTTTCTGGTGCTTCTGGGTGTGCGCCTGCTTCCTCTCCTCTTCGGTGGAAGGGTCCATTTGCGATCCCACAACTCCGACCATAGGCTTCGTCAGGGCGTAGGCGTGCTTGACGGCATCCTCGAGCTCGGCGTCGGTGAGGAAGTGGTTGCGAAGACCGGGCGTCGTGGGCAGCTCCCTGGCCTCTTCGAGAGAGTTCCCGCTCGCGTCCTTACGCACGGCGCTTACGGGGCTCTGGCCTGCCGAGTCGAGGGACTCGAGGAACGGCGTCGTCCTGCCCCGGACGGGATCGCCCCATGCCTCGTCTCGCTGCTTCTGGAGCTCCTCCTGTCGCTTGAGGTTGGCGGCTTTGCGCTGCTGGGCCTGCGCCCACTTGTACGGGTCCTGCTTCGCCTTCTTCTTCTTCTCGCGCAGCGAGAGATTGGCCTTTTGGACGAGCGGGAGGAAGGCCGGTGTCGTCGGCGTCGTTGACGGTCGTAGGCACACTAACAAGCTCGATTAGCGACAATGGTTCCCCTTTGACCGCTTTACAGATTTGACTTTTCTGCAAAGCAATGAGGAGATTTCTATCGTACGATTGACTGTGCCTAGCCGTTGTAGCAGGTCTATTCTGGGCGGCATCGTTGCTGGATGAGGTGCTGTTATCTCTCCATCAAGTCCTATCCCGCCTTGCGACTCAAAATTTCGCCGATAGTACAATGATCATTCCACGCCTCTGAAGGACCTGCTGACTAACACACCTAGCTCCACTTGGTCTGAGAGAGAGAGGAAGTGAGATCTAACTTTCTTAGTCATCCAATTGCATCACGTGCATCTCCAGACCCTCTTCAAGAACCTCCAGATCTAGCGAAAGGAAGCTAGTCCGTAAGTATGCTAGCGCCTTCAGGGCTGCGGCACACACATTTTTGGAAATTCCAACCTTCTAGCCCTCGCGAACTTTTTGCGAAACCTCTCTGGCACGATCCTCGTCAACCGAGCCTCATCTTGCCTCCTTCCAACCGCCCGGATTTCCCTCACCACCACGAAGGAAAAATCTAGTCAAGATGGCTCCCGCTAACCTGCCCTCCATCTTCAATGCCACGTCCCAGGACATCGAGATGCTCCTGGCGGCGCAGTGCCACCTCGGTTCCAAGAACCTGCAGGTGCACATGGAGCCTTACCTGTGGAAGACCCGTGTCGATGGTGTCAACGTGATCAACATTGGCAAGACCTGGTACGTTTGATCCGACGGTGGAGAGAGAGAGAGAGAGCAGAGACCTTTTGGAAGTTCTAGCAGCGAAAGAAGGAGGAGGAGGAGACCTTGTGTGGAAGCTTTGAAAAGAAGGGAACTTCAAATGCTATCGAAACGAGAGAGAGAAAGCTAACCAGCTTTTCGCACCTATCTACAGGGAGAAGATTGTCCTGGCCGCCCGCATCATCGTCGCCATCGAGAACCCGGCCGACATCTGCGTCATCTCCGCCCGTCCCTACGGCCAGCGCGCCGTCCTCAAGTTCGCCGCCCACACCGGCGCCTCGCCCATTGCCGGCCGCTTCACCCCCGGTTCCTTCACCAACTACATCACCCGCTCCTTCAAGGAGCCGCGCCTGATTGTCGTGACCGACCCCCGCACCGACGCCCAGGCCATCAAGGAGGCCAGCTACGTCAACATCCCCGTCATTGCCCTCTGCGACACCGACTCCCCCACCGAGTACGTCGACGTTGCCATCCCCACCAACAACAAGGGTCGCCACGCCATCGGCACCATCTGGTGGCTGCTTGCCCGTGAGGTCCTGCGCCTCCGTGGCACCATCTTCAACCGCGAGACTCCCTGGGACGTCATGGTTGATCTGTACTTCTGTATGTCTTGAAAGAAGAAACGCTCCCCGCTATCCCTCCTTAAAAAGGCAATTTATAGAGAATATGAAGCTGACCCCCCGGTGAAACAGACCGCGACCCTGAGGCCGAGGCCGAGGAGAAGGTCGAGGAGGAGAAGCTCATCACCGCTGCTGAGGAGGAGGTCCCCGTCGCCATCGAGTCCGGCTTCCCCGCCGCCGGCGGTGACTGGGACGCTCCCGCTCCCGGCTTCGCTGGTGCCACCCCCGCCGTCGCTGCCGCTGGCTGGGACGGTGCTGGTGCCGGTGCCGGCGCCGACTGGGCTGCTTCCGGTGGCCAGGAGTGGGCTGCTGATGCTCCTAAGGACAGCCAGTGGTAAACAAATCTCCAAAGGGTTTATCTGGGAACACACACAAATCGTTGGAGGATGGCGTGATTAAAGGGTTAACTGGAACTTTTTTTGACAAGAAAAAAAGTTACCCACAGGGCGTGATCCAAAAATAGGGGGAGGCGTTATAATCGAAGCTCTTTTTTTCACATCCACACCAAAGAAAGAAATGACGGCGGGAGGTTCTGGGGGATTTCTTACTATTTGGGTTTGAGCCCGCTGTACTTATGAGGGAAAGATACTCTGCCCAATTCCTTTGTTCTCTCATGGCGAAGAGGGGGATGGGAAAGAGGGAAAGCCCTGTATGGCGGCTGGGGGCGTACTTAATCGTTGCCTCGCCCAAATGGTTATTTCTTGATTCCTCTTGCGGTTGTTATTTTCGTTGAAAAAGAGCTTGTGCAGCCGACCATATGTGCAAACAAAACAAAAGAAAACTCAAAGATGTCCCTCTTCATGCTTCGTTCTTGTATTTGTCCTTGTGAATCGTCGGGGTCATCTCGAGATTTTTCAAGGACTCATGTGCACATAGGTACTCACCTCACAACACAAAGCAGACACAGCCACATCACACGTCTGACCGGATCTTTGGTTTGCAATGTCTTGATATTGCTATGAGCAACCTTGTTCAGGCGCATATTTCCTAGTACTTCTCTAAGGTATGTATGTGTATGTGTGTATGGTCTTCCAAAGGCGGTATATGTACGAGCGTGTATCCTTGATACGCTACCCAACCCAAATTTATCCACGATGAAACCCCCAGTATTGGTATCTAAAGTTTCCCCCTTATTTGTGATGTCCCTTCTTTGTACTCCCACGCCAGCAGTAAAGATATCCCAGTCGAGAAGAAAGACGAAAGAAAAGAAAAGCAAAAGCGAAGCGAAGTAATACAGGAATACGGAGAAGAGGGGGAGGAGGATGAAAGAAGAAAAAGAAGAGAAGAGAAAAGGCTGGGAACAGGACAGTAAACTTGTAGCAAGGAAAAAATATTGGCCGGCTGATCAACAGAAGAAAAGAATCTCGCCCAGGAGTGAGGTATCAAGTGTGTCTGGAATAAAAGTGGTAGTATAGTGGTAGTCGTGATGCCAGCGGTAGCCAGCTATCGGAGGTTTTGTTCTGATTTTTCTTTTCTGGCTTGTCGAGTTCGTTCATTAGGTGGTATCGATTATGCAAAACGCCCCGTTGAATAGGCCAAAACAAAAAGGAAAGCAACAAGGAAAAAACAAATAAACGGGTAGCAAGCAGCAACATGCTACGCAATCACATATCGTGTCCTCTGCGGCTTGTATACCTCTTCTGCTGCAACCCGTTGCAGATGTGACAAGCAAAAGAGCTGTGTAGTTCCCACGGAGGCTCTTATGGTGTGACGCGTGAATATTGATGCTAAGAAATTGACAAAGGGGACCCCTGTGAGGGCATGGGAAGGTGTGTGTTTGTGTGTGTGTCGAAGAAATTGCGAGGCATGTAGATGCAGTGGGTGAGGCTTGCAAGTAGGATCCCGTGGCATCAGAATGAGAAGAGAGATTATGAGTTCCAGCCGGAGGGAACAAAATGATGTCCGGGCTACTCCAATGCCTCAGAATGTCGTCGAATCTCTTCATCGCTCAATGCGCCCATCCAGAGACATCGTTCCGTGATGCCTTCAACTGGCTGAAAAGTATACCGCGTGCTGGCCTCTAACAATCTCAACAGTGTCTTGATCACAGACGCCGCAATGCGGCACCGTTCAAAGTTGATGAGCGGCGGAGTGGTCGGCGAGCTGGCAATCTCCGAGGCGCGTTGAGCGTTGAAGAGGAGATCATGCGTGTAGATTCCAACGAATGGTATGCAGCCCCCGTCCGAGCCAACTTCCATCTCAGCTCGGAGGTTGTAAAAGTTGCGGGTTGGTGTGACGAGGGCCTCGAGTTCCCCGAGCGTATTCAGATCGCGAGCCGGAACAAGATCCCACGTCTTTGAGAGACGGGAGACCTCGGCGCTGGACAAGGCAATCGTAAGCTGTGCCAGGGTGGCGAAGTTGCGATATCGCCGGCAATGCGCCGCAATATGAATAAGCTTGATGATACAGCGCGCTCGCTCCTCAATGTGCTGAGTGAGGACGATCTCGGAAATGGCCCACTTGACCATGATGTTGAACCGCGCAACGACAACTTCAACGCCATGGGCGTTGGTGTTTCGCAGAAAGTCAACCCACGAGCGAGAGTCGTTGCTGGTAGCGTTCCTCCAATTCATCTCAATCAGTTCTCGCCAGTCTATGTCGTTGAGAGCATCCTTTTCGATGAGCGTGAACTGCTGAGCCAAGATGTCAGAGGGAAATGCTAGGATAAACGGCAGGTGAATCGAATACGTGAGCGTCTTGGGAGTCTCCTGTTCTGGTGCTGGTTGGACAGGCGCTTCAGTGGTATGCAGAGGCTCTGGATCAGCTTTAGGAGAAGTGCCATGAAAAATCTCCTGAGAGAGGGGAAGAGCCTTCTGAGACCATATTTGTTCTGGCTCCAGAGTCCTTTCAAGATTTGTCATCGCAGGGCTCATCGTTAGCTGACTCCTCATTACCGGACTCATCGCCAATGCTTGAGCGAGTGTCATGGGAGCATACGAGGCGTTTGACCGAGGCGTGTCGAGAGGATCACCGAATGGATGCGGCTGTGATGATACTGAGAAAGCAGCCGCTCTCGCGCTGGGGTTGCGCACGCTCTCGCCCTCGGAAGGGGTAAGCTCAGATGAGAGATCCGAGCCGCCAACGCTGGCATCTTCCAGGAAGGACTGGGCATCCATTGATGGTGCAGTCGCCTTTCCTGCCTTGAGGTTCTCGATACTCTCCGTCTTTTCGACAAAGGCATACGAAAGCTGGGAATCGGAGACCTGGTGGGAGACATTGCGGCCTTCCGAGGCAGCTTCTAAAGGAGCAGTATCGTCTTCATCCGACGAGCCGCGAAGAACCGATCGATCAGTCCACTCTGATGTTCCTCTCCTACTCTGGCTATCGTTCGTGAGGCCCCTTTCGAGTAAGGGTATGGAGCAGTATGATTCGTCAGAGTCGGCAGTCAAGAAGGAGCGCGTCTCAATGTTGTTAATCTCTGTGCGCGCAATCATGGTGTCCCGGCTGTACGCAGAAGACACAGGGTGCTTTCCTTTGTCCTGGGACAAGACTTGGCTTTGCTGAGTGCGATGAGCTACAACCATGCTACCGCTTTCGCTCACTCGGCTTGTATTCCCCATGAAATGAGAGTCTGCAGCGTCGAATCCTGTGCCAAACTCGTTCGCGTCTATCATAGCCGTCTGTCTGAACAGATTAAGCGATTTCGTCTTCGGCCGATATCTGCCCTCTAGCTTTAGCAGGGCCGACTCGATACCGCCGTCATCCTCATCGGGTATCTGCGCAAGCTTTCTGGCTTCAATCTCAAACGATGGACGCATAATAGGCTTGGATGAATGAGTACTAATCAAAGACAACTGTCGTTTGGGAGGCTTCCCAGTCAGCTGACCGACGGAGAAGACCTTGTGCCTGTCATGAGGAAGCTGGCCTTCCCCACCTCCAGCATAACTGCGATCATCATCGTCCTGCTCGGCTTGAGTGCCCAGGAAATAAGAGCTCCGGATGGATTCGGAGTAAGTTGTGAAGGATGCAACAGAGTGCGATTTCCGTACAGTGGGATGGCTCTTTAGGCCGCCCACCTTGGCTGCGTCTCTTAGGTAACCTCCAGGGCGCCTTCGAAGCATCCGAAGCGGCTCGACAGCTGGAGTCCCGTGCTCTTCCTCCAGCATGGAAGAAGTCGTTGTGGCATCGAAGCTTCGGGCTGTGGAGTGCCTTTCCAGACGACTGTTAAACGATGCCCGACGCCTGTAAGAGGAGATTGATTGCCGGACGTTTGTCGACTGGTGTCTCTCATGTATACGCAGCGTTCCGCGATTTGAGACCGGGCAGCGCTGACTGCCGCGATGCAACGTCGAGAAGGAGGACCGGCCAGCATCATTCGGTGCACCCATGTTGTACGGATCACCACCCAGGGCTACCATGTCCGGGGAGACAGCGGGAAAGGGCTCGTCTTGGGAAGTTGGGGGCGGAGCGGCGAGCTGGTCGAAAAGGGGGGACGACCTCCTCGGCGTGCCAGCCGTGGGCTGCGCGGGCGGCGTCGTAGGAGGCGTTGGATCACCACCGGCCGTCAAGAAGGATCCCACTGATAGTCCGCCGACAGACGGGTCAAAGGTGGTGGTAGGAAGGCCATTACGCATGTTCGACCTGTCAAGCGGAGCGGTATCGTCGACAATGACAATCGACTGGCTACCAGTAGTGATGCCCATGTCGCTCATAGGCCGTGACCTCCGCTGCTCAGGCGCATAATCAGCCGTGGTAGAGTCCATGTGTGCGACCGAATACTCCAAAGGCCGGGCACCAGTTCGAGAGGGCTTCGGAGATGGCTTTGGGAGGCCCAAGCGTTCTGCTTCGGCTGCCTCCTCTTCTTCCTGAATGGCTCGTCTAAAGTCCTCGGCCACTTCAGCTCCAAGCACATCGATCCTCACCAGCGGGCGGCTTGTAGTCTGGGTGTAGGCGCCTCGTGAGGCAAATGCAGTCCCAGGCAGCTGATCGATGCCGATCGTATGTGAAGCCAATGAGGCGACGGCCGGCAAGCTCGTGTGTGAGCCAGACGACCACTGTCCCCGGGTGTTCAAAGCGCGTCGTACGCCGCCCAAGAACTTTTTCATTCCGGACCCGGACATGGCAACCCCAAAGATCCGGTCCTTGGTACCGTGGCGGGGGATGGGCTGGAAGATGGTGGTCTGTCTGTGGTCGCCAGTGGGAGTTTCTGCCTCGACATCGACAAAGGGCTGGCCAGGCGGCAAGATGTTGCCCCGAACAAGATTTCCGGCGGACTGTAAGATCATGTGTAGATCAACGTCTTGTGAAGGGGAATGATCAAAGCTGGTGCCCCTGAGGGAATCGGTAGCGCTGTTGTTGCGAGAATGGCCGTGGGCCGGCCGGACACGTTTACCAGCAAGCGCCTTGGGAGTCGTTGCTATCGCTCCCGGCGGCAGGATGGGGGACGTTGAATAAACCGGATGCGCTGCTAGGGGCTGGCTGGAGTTCGGATTCAGGGATCTCACATTCTTGCTGGGAAAGGAACAAGACACAATGTCCATGCTCGCTATGCTGAGGGGTGAAGCAGGTCCGTTGCCTAGCATAGTGTTGGTGATCATTTGATGTTCGGGAGTCCCTGGACGATCCTCCGACAGAGTGAAGTTGCCCATGTTGGTCGATGTGGGAAGCACGTCGGAACTCGGGTTCGTCTCGTCACCCACATCGTTAGGCATGGCAGACACAGCATGCCACTGGGGTGGATCTACCCCTTCCCTGTCCCAAAAGCTAGGGTCCAGGCTGGGGTCTCGATATCCGGCGATGCCACCGGGCGCAACCGGGGCCTGAGGGCCCAGACTGTCGTCAAAATCGGGGCCGTCCCAGTAATGGGCACAAACACGTCGCCAGCACTTCTTAAGCTCTGTCAAGATCTTGAGCTGAACTCGACGCTCCTTTGCATCCTGGGACAGCTCGTCGACAAAGTCGTTGAGCAGGATGCAGAACAGGACACGGAGGTCGTAGTCCAGGACAAAGTCATCGACAAAGTAGTTGAGGATCCAGTGTCGCATGGCGACAAAGGTTCGAACACGGACAATCATTCCAACCTCGTCGGTACGTTCCAAGGCCCAGCGCAGCCTCGCCATGAGCATTCGCAAGAGTAATTCAGGCTCAAGAAAGGCTCTGAAAGTGAGGAAGAAATCCGAGATGAGCTCGTAGTCGAGGAAGCTTGGCGATGTGATCTCGGCAACCAGTCGAGAAGGGGTCGCCGCAGTCACGGATCCGCTGGGCGAGTAGCGTACTATCAATTTATCGTCGCACGCCGGCTTGAAGGTGAGATCATCAAACATTTCCGGCTCAATGGCAAGATTCGTTGCGTATGCAGAGGGCACGGCACGGCGGGGGCGAGCCGATGCCTGTGAAGATGCAAGCGAGGTTCGAGGAAAGCGGAGCTGTGGTATGACAAGATGGCTGGGTCGTCGAGAGCCCAAGCCACGCAGCGGAACACCAAGGCTTCTCTCTGATGAATGATGCATGGATGCGCGGCTGTTGGAGTGGAACTCGTCAGTCGGAGCGTAAGAGGAGCCTCTGAACATCGGGGTACCCCTCGTAGAGAACCGCGGTGTTCCCAGCTTCCATGATGGGATGTTGATATTGAGTATCGGCACGCCGTCAGAGTCCGGGTCGTCCAGATGATCAGTCGTCTTGGGCCGGTGATAGTCGCCGTGCGTTGGCTTAGTGATGACGATCCTATACCCCTCCGTATCGGTGGCCGTTGGCGAGTTGAAGTCACGAACCGTGCTATCCGACACGGCTCTACGGTGCTGCGATGTCGATGGAAGCGCGCTGGGGTCGGAGATGTAGTTGGCGGGAATGGTGGACGTTCTGGGAGTTGGCGTGAATTGGTTGTCATGGTGGTTCGTTGGCGGCTTGAGGGGTTCTGGTTCGTCGCGATTCTCTGGGTATGCGCCCTCTAAGCCGGCCGTACCAGGGGGGGTTATGGGAAACGTGAAATTGGGCTGAGGGTATCTCTTGTTTCCGCGGCGAACCGAGGGTCTAGGAGAAGACAAGAAAGCGTTAGCAAAGGGGGTTAATAGCATCCTTCTTCCAAGTTGCGCGCATGCATACCTCAGGAACAGCTTGCCATTGTTCCCGACATTGGCAACGGTGAACTGGCGCCCTTCGCGGCCGGCCGAGGCGCCGTCCGGTGCAACGTCCCACCGGTCCTTCTCTGCATCTCGCCTCCCTATTGAGACTGTTCTGCTGATGGATCTCTGCTCGGTCACGGGTACGATAGGTCGGCCAGTAGTCGAGGGTTTGCGCTTCACCTTGGTCGACAGCTTCGGCGGTGAGGTATCCTTTGCGTCCGACACGCTCCCCCCGGACACTTTCCGCGTCGTGTTGTCATATTTTACTCCAGCGCTTGGGGTTGTGGTCTGTATTGATTTGAGATGCAGTGCTTTCCGCCGCCTGGTTGATTGCTTGGGTCGCAATGCGAGAGTTGGCCGCGCCGCTACCAGGGGAGGCTCGGTGGCATCCATGGCCCATCCAATGTTATGACGGGACGGAGCTCGTGCTGCTCAGGGCTAGCGATTCTGGTAGCCCATTTGATCAAGAAGAAGTCAGCGAACATAAATTTCAGAAGGCGAGTGCTGTCCTGGTGGGCAAAGAGCGGCTATAGGAGTCGCGAAGGGAGAGGACACAGCAACCACAGCCACGAGGCTCGGCGCAGCCGGCAGAAAAGGAGTGTGCGTGGCGGGCTGGTGGTGGGAGCAGATGCGGCGCAAGGCTGAAGCCAAAGGAGGTCGAGACGAGCAAAGGCAGATGCTGGCGGACAGAGCGAGCAAGCGAGGCACGGCGTGGGACTTACCAACTGACGCCATGCAGGCACGGGGCAAAAGGATGGTTCAAGGAGCGGACAGCAAGTCGAGCCCGCTCCCACTCTTCGTTCAGCGACTTCAATTGGAATGGTAAGGTAAGTATTATGGATGATGTCGAGGACGCAATCGTATCGAGTCTGGTCGAGCTGGGTGTGTCGAGCTGAGTCGTGTCGTGTAGTACTAGGTAGGTAGTATCGTGCGGTAAAACTGGGTGGTAGAAGAAGGAACTTGCGCGCTGCTGTCCTGGCCGCAAGCAGATTGTACGTAGCGTCGTGGGCAGCAATCTCGAGGGCAAGTCGAGGCGAGCAGCGTCAAAGATTTGCGAAGCCACGGCACAGAGCGAGACAGTCGCGGACAGGCATGGCAGCGGCAGAGAAGAGTGAAAAGAATGCCAAGCAGCGCGGAAGCGATGACAAGTCGGTGCCGGTCAGTGTCTGGGCTCGGCGCCTGTCGTTCGTTCGGGTCTGGGATGGCACAGACTGATGGTTTGCCGGGCGTCTGGGGAGACTGGACTTGGACGGGCTCTGTCGAGGGCTAAAGGGAGCGAGGAGAGGAGAGAGAGTCATATCATCATCAAAGCTGGGAACCGGGCGAGCGGGTACGTATCGGTACCTGTGCCTCGCCTTGTGCCTGGGCGGCAGCTGGCGGCGCGCCATGCAATCTTAGTGCCGGTGGGTACCTGTATTTAACGGCGACAGGGCCTGGCCGATAGGGCATGCTGGGCATCCATATGGCGGATTAGCGGCATTCCAGTGGTTGAAGGTCCACCCCCTGGTCGCCTGAAGAAGAGAGCCGGGGGAGGGGGGCATCATGCAGCCCCTCGCAGTGAGTGCGATTGAGATGTGATGAAAGCGATGAGAATGACGCTTGACGGTTGCATTTTGCCAATGCGTTTAGGTAAAGCATCAGGTTTAGTGTTTGTAGCTCGTATGCGGGCTTACACGGCAGTTTGTGCTCTGCTTCGGCAGATGGACGAGATACAAATAGTGCTCGTATAAAATGGACCTTACCTACCTCATGTAGGTAAGGTAGGTAGAGTGTGTGAGATGGCAGCATGCAGTCTGAAGCTTCCATCATGCCGTCCATGTGCCCATATAGGTACCTATTGGCGATCCAGGGCAGACCCGGGCTGAGGAGGGATCCCGTCAAGGGCAGGGCCATACGTAAGGTATATATTCCTAGACATGCACGAATGGGACCCAAGAGCCGGGGACGCTGATGCCGAGATACGTGTAAGCCGTATTTCGTTGGTTCCTTGGTGGGTACTCTTGAAGCACATCGGTATTCCGCAACGACCATGTGTAACTATCTACAGGTCATTGTTACAGGACACACATGGCTCGATTTGATGTGAAGCTGATATTGTATCACATGGATACAGAACTGTCCTGAATACTACATACCTACCAACCTCCTCATGCTGTGCAGTCTGTACTTGAACGCGCAAGGTATCCGGCACTCGTCGTACCTGCATCGCTTATGCGCACCGCCAGACGTCAATGCACGTCAGTCATGAGGTTCTGTGTCTCCAGGATCGGCGCTGCCCAGGACTGTTTCCAGCCTGGCTGCGGGATAAGGCGCTGTGTCTCTCCGCACGGCAGATGCCGGCTGCGGGACTGACTGACGCTCTGACATGTGAAGTTGTCTACATGTAGGTATGTATGTGTGTAATACGACAGACGACCAGCATCTTCAGCGGCTCTGTTGCGATTCAACGTGTTCCAACGCCTCGTGTTTCCTCCCAGCGCCCAAAACGCCCATCTTTCTTTAGCGCTCAACACCATCGGCAAGCCACTTCCCTTAACACCCGTACCCAAAGGGCTGGAAGAAGCCCGGGCTTGAACCATCCCATCCACTAGCACCGTCAAAGTGGCAGCACCATTTCATCCCAACCCTCGTAGCGCAGCGGCAGCCAGCAGTCGACAAGTCGGATACTACTACTACCATCATCGAGCATACCTATACTTTCGATAGCGAGCGCCTCGCCTGCAAGCCGCTCGTACCTGGACCTCGCCAGCCCCCCAAACCCAGCTGGTTGGCTCGCCCTGGCCCATTCACGGTCCGCCTTCCGCGGGCTGGCTTAGGACCGACGGACTCGTCTGCTAAGATGAAGCCGTTGACAGGCGTGGACGCTCAGCTGGGCTTCCGGTATTACAATAGAACTACTACTAGCAAGCTATGTACAGTGGGCATGTCGCCGAGAGAAGTTGGCGAAGCTGGATGCCGTGTCGCCGTTCATACAAGCACAACTACATAATAAGGCAATACTACTGCTGGTTTGCGGAGGAGAGGAACAACCAGTCATTAACGCTTATTGAAAGCCGAGGTAGAAGAGACGCTGCTCAGTCCCTGCATCACGGTTGGACGGAGACAAGGGGGGAGATGAGACGCATATTGGCGGTTGGCCCGCAAAAAAGTTCAATTGATCAAGTGCTCCAGAGGCTGAACCAACAGTGCTTACCAAGCACATGAGGCAGCATTGCCATGGAGGTGTAAGCAGAGCTATCAAACTCTTTGCTTTATTACTGTAGGTACCTATACAAGATAATCCTCGGCGTGGATTATGCTTTGCGCTATGAGTTGAAGCTCCATGACGATCAAGACAAGGCTTCAACAGTGGGAGCCAGTCTGCTGGGTTAGGGCTATGCGACGGGCTGCTGTGCTCCGACGGTGCCCAGAAGAAGCGGACGGGACCTTTTGCGCGTCCCTACTAGACTAAGGTAGATAACATGAGGCCTGTCTGTCTGTATTTACAAGCGCAGCTAGTATTCCAGTTCTCATATCTCTGAGATGATTCATTAGGATCACAGCGAGTGATTAGTTGAGGTGTAATGACCGCTTGATGATTGGATGGCTGTTCCCCAAGTAAGGTACCTTATGTACCTATAGATACATGCACTGGCGTTCCATGACGCTCACTCACCTCCAAAGGCAAAGATAGACGTGCTCGATGATACCCCCTACAGAAATTGATCCGTCATACCCAGTGCAACATCGTCATAATACGTCTTTTTTTCCAAGCAAACCAACAGAAATCCATCCTTCTGTCTTCCTCTGCATACAAGTACCTAATATCTTCCAGCAAACCCCAGTGGATCCACGGCCACGGCTCCGGCAAACCTGTCCAGGGCCTGTCGCCTGTTCCCTGAAAAGCCTGATTCCTCCTCCCTCACTGCAACCTCAGCACGGTCACTTTCCGACAGTCGACCAACACCGCAGCAGCAGCAGCTCGTATCAAGCGAAATAAAAGAGTGCGCCTCTTTCTGTTGCCCATCCCCGGTTTTCCCACCCTTTTTTGGAATTTTCTAGGAACTCTTCTGTGCAAGGGAGACAAAGAAAAGTTGCCCGGCACCGAGAGACTGGGTTCGCCGGGTTTCAGTCCCCCGGCCAGGCAGGCCTTCTCGAGGCCCTTGCGGGATTCGAAACGCTTGGGAAATTCGCTTCATGGTTCTTTTGGTGGGAAGAGCATGAGAAGGGGGGTTGCTGCTGTTGTTGCCGCTCGTTGTTCTTGTTGTTGTTCCGGATCAATGGCAAAGCGGCTTATTCTCTTTTCTTTCTTCTCTTTTTTTTTTATTATCATTTTTCCTTTTTTGACTCTTTCTTTCTATCGGAGTCAGTGATTCTCTTGTTTTGAGTTACCAGCCGTGTCACGAATTGCAGTCCAACCAACAGCCTTCAACTGCCTCGTCACAGTACCCATCTATACATTCTCCCCTCTCCTGAACTTACACGACAACTGCAAACCTTTCACGTAAGAACCATCCCTCCATCTACCTATTTCCATGAGCAAACTCAAAATCACAAGCGCATCAACCCCCCAAAAACCTTCCCCTCTCCAACTCTCACGCCGGCAAAAAGGCAAAACTGGCACCTCCCACATTCATGCTCACCACTTTCAATCCTCAAACACGATGCTTTTCATGCAAACACCACATCCTCAGAGTCTTTTACGACCTGTCACATATGACCACCCTCATGGCTCCAACCTCACCAAAAAAGGAAAAAAAAGAAGAAGAAAAAAAAAGAAACCCAATCTCCCCTCCCCTGCCCTCCCGTGACCTCGACCTCATGTATGTATGTATGTATGTATGTATGACCAGACCCAGACATTTGGGGGTATACTAATTTGCCGCAAGACGCATGCCTTGTACATCCTTGTCCTCTCGAGTCCCCCGTGTTCCAGTTCCACTGACTGCTGCTGCTGCTGCATGACTTTCTTTTTTTTCCCTGGGCCGTCATTAGAAATGTCTCACTATCCTTCGTCACATGCCGCATGCCAACCACAACTCAACTCGACAGTCTTGCCTCTCACATGAAGCATACCTACCTATACCTCAACAATCTCTCACGCCATGCCACCAAAGTCGCAGCCCATCTCCCAGTAGCTAGTACGAGTACATAGATGTAATCAGCCTCCAGCCTCTCTCTCTCTTCGTTCCCACACATCATATCGCCAAAAAACCCTTGAAAGCCTTTTGACCCCGTTCCCCCCCCAGCAGCAAGCACACTTCCCAGCACGCACAGCTCGCCAAATGATCCCCAACCCTCACACGAGGCCCCTCCATGCTATAGTCTAACCAATGGTACTTGTAAAAACCCCCTTGAAAACTTCCCATGTTCCCGGCATCCACGTGTTTCCCCCCTACCCCTTCTTAGTCCTCCCGTTCTCTGTTTAAAAAAGAAAAGGAAGAAAAAAAAAAGAAGAAGAAAAAGCGCCGTTATGTCAAAATTTGAAGTCTGTGTCCGTCCTCCCATTTCCTCCCCTCCCCAGTCTCTTCAAAAGACTTCGACTCGACAACCGAACAATTTTAATGCACATACATAAAGTACCCAGGCGAAACGCGTAGCTCCTGGACAGGCAATGTGTTTCAGCACCTTGTCTTCTTTCCTTTCTTTTTTTTTCTTTTCTTTTTTGTCTTTCCTTTTTTTTTCCCACTTCTTCTTTTCTTTTCTGCTTCTCTCGCCAAGGTACCAACATGAAAGAATGATGACATTTCCATTTTCGGTCATATTAGTATGCAGTAAATTGAGTACGGAAGACACGACAAGACTGCCGTACGTGTATTCGGTAGATACCCTACCACAAGCAAGATATGTAGTCTCGCAGCAGGTGTGTATGCGGAAACGGAACAATGAATTGCACCGATCAATATGCAAATCCAAGGCAGCAAAAGGAGAACCCCACCGGGAGAGGACAACAAGACAGATAATCTCGGTATCTGATATGAAGTGATCATTTGTGCGAGTGAACCATGTGTTTTATTTTCGACACTCGTTCGAGACCAGTGATCCAGATTCCTTCCCATCACTTGCGAATCGTCGTTTGGTTCATCATGTATGTAAATCTATTCATGTTCCAATATTCGACGGTAATCCAAGTATAGTCCTATATGACGGGCATCCCAAATATCCCTCCCCCTTATTGTATGTAGATGTTCTATGCAAAGGTGCCTATAGATGGACCTCGTTTATCTTCTCGACAATGAGGTCCGTCAGCGTTTCCACAACGTTGCTGTTGGGGCCGCCCGCTCTAGCTTCAAAGATGCAGTCTAGAATCGACTTGACTCCTACCGCCACCGAGTCCCTCCCTGTACGTTCCTGAATGGCGCTGATTGTTTGGTTGACATCTTCCGAGTTGAGAACCCTCGACTCATGAAGAACGACGGCAAGCTCGCGCAGGTTTGAGACTGCCGGCACAGCCACCTTTTTGGCAAAGTCTTGCTCCACCTCGAGCATCTTGAGCGTTGAGGCCTTTGACGTAGTGACAAAGATGAGGAGACGATGTCCCTGTAGACAAAAAGTTAGCCAAGAGTATCCTTAATTATATACGCAGAGCACAGCTTCCTCTTACCTTGGGAGGCTTGGAGACGATCAGCGTGGTGAGGGCCTCCAGCATAACGTTGGAGAATCGCGGGCCAATCGGGTTCCAGCCAATCAATCGCTCAAAGTCGTCGAGAATCAGGACACTAGCAGGTGATTTGTAGGCGTCCGCGAACGCCTTGTGAACGTAGTCCTTCTTGGCGAACTCGTCTCGGTAGCCCACAAGGTCGGCCGGCGTCACCAGCTTGATGAATGGGAATCCAGACTGCACGGCAATATGCGCCGCCAAGGCCGTCTTTCCAGACGATTTCGGGCCGTGGAAGAGCACAGATGTGCTGAATTTGTTGGGGTCCTCCCTGATCATGCCCACAACACGCATCATCTCCTGAATGGTGGATTCAATGTGAACACCATAGGGGATGATGCCTAATCGGACAGCATCCTCGAGCTCGGCCTCCGACACTCCGTAAGCAGGACGGACTTCGGTCAGAGCGTTCATAAAGTCATCCCGGTTAACTCTCATGTTCGCCACGTCTTGCTTCACCGCAGCCAGCTGTCCTACTTCTGTGTGGCGCGAGAAGGCAAAGGAAGCTGCTGCCTTGACGAGACCGTTGATTTCGGCACCTGAAAAGTTCTTTGTGAGACCCGCCAGTTCAGCAAGGTCCACGCTGGGATCCAAGAGACCATTGGTGCTCATCTTTGACGTGTGAATCTTGAGAATCTCCAGTCGTCCGTCCTCATCTGGGAGGGAGATCTCCAGGTGGACTTCCAGACGGCCGGGTCGCAACAGGGCATCGTCAATCATGTCTTTTCGATTCGTCATTCCGATGAGGAGGATATTGTTGAGTTGGTCGACACCGTCCAGCTTGGACAAAAGCTGGTTGACGACGCTGTCGCCGACGCCAGTGCCGCCGCCTGCTCCAGATCCACGCTGCTTACAGACGGCATCCAATTCGTCAAAGATGATGATGTGGAGGCTGCTTTCGTCTCCCTTCTCCTTGTACTCTTTTTCAGCATCCGCAAACAGTTTGCGGATGTTCTCTTCGGACTGGCCGACGTACTTGTTCAACACCTCGGGTCCGTTGATAACCTTTGGCGGCCGGGCGTTGAGCATCTTGCCAATCTGTCTCGCAATCAAAGTCTTTCCCGTTCCAGGAGGACCGTAGAGAAGCATTCCCTTGACGTGCGGGATGCCCATCTTGGCCACCAGCCCAGGTGGAAACACGCGGGATGCAAACGCACGGCGGAAGATGGTCGAGAACTCGTCTCCCAGTCCACCGATGCCCATGTCTTCAAACTTGAAATCGGGTGCCAGGATGGCATTGGAGTTGGGCTTCGTCGCCGAAGGCTTGAGGTTGAAGTCGCCTTTGCCGTCGCGGTGAAACAAGATGCGAGTCTGGTTGGTGAGGATACCCCTAGCATGGGATTCCCTATGTATTTGTTTGCCTCCATCATCCGCCATAGACAGGTCGACCAGGCCAACGGTCTTGACGACGATCATAAGCGGTATGTTTCGCACATCCATAAGGATCCTCTGCCCAGGAGCGAGGATTTGATTCTGGAAATTGTTGATGAAGAGCTTGGACAGCTCATCTTCGTCGTAAGGCGTCTCGGTCCTCTTGGTCGGTGAGGCGAAGCCAATCTCCAGATCCAAAGAACCCAGGTATGCCTTACCGCCAGACGCAAAAGGATCATAGACCTCTCCGGTGAAGGTGTCTCTCATAGCAACACCACACCATGTGCGTTGGGGGTCGGACAAGCTGATGCAGCCTCGGGGAAAGCCAGGGACGGGCGTCGCAGTCACGACAAACTCGCCGGGTGGCTGGCCGGCTCGGAGGAGGATGTAGTAGTCTGTGCCGTCGGGCCGCGGGGGAAAGTCTTCGGGTGAAACAGCGCACCTGTTTGGGCATGTTAGAAGGGATGCCTGAGACGAAAGGTAGCCAGACTTACGTGTTTCCATAGATGAGTCTTGATTGCAGGGTCTTGTCCGCAACCTTTTCAACCTGCAGCTGTACCACTCGCCCACTGCCTCCGGACGGCTTCTCATTGTACCGCTGTCCGGCACCCTGAGAGCCACCGTATCCTCCTTGGGGTGAACCTCCGTATCCGGCATGCGGTGCGCCGCCATACCCTCCCTGTTGTAGTGCGCCTCCGTAGGGCTGGTATGATCTATCGCCAGGAGGGGGCATTCGTGGATTACCTCCAGGCAGCCCCATGCCGCCGCCGAAGCGGCCCGGGTTACCACCAGGAGGGGCTCTGGACATGGCCGGGGAGAGGCGGTCGATCGAGGGAGGTTGACGAAAGGAATTAATCGGTGATCTCTGCAAGCTTGACTGCAAACTCGTATGTAGAAGCAGGGTCTATGGGCGCAAACGCTGTTCAAGGAACAGACATGAGATGAAAAGAAGAGAAGCGGATGAGTAACGTTGAAACAGCACCAAGTCGAGGCAAGGCGAGACGAAGAAGCCAAGTTGGAGCTTGGGTGGGCGAGGAAGGCCATAAGTGGGGCGTCTGACTGCCTGATGCGGTTTAGCGGTTATGTCATGGCCGCACAGCCCCACGTTCCTGCCTTATCTCTTATCGGCTTGCGAGATGTCGGGGATGGAGACAATCAGCTGTGACAATCACAAGCTTGTCGTCCTGTCGCGCGACAGGTTCGTTTACACCCTTCAGCATGCCGCTGTAAGTTGCTTATTCCCTGTGCCCCTACTGTTGATACAACCTACTAAGATTGTAAATCACAGACATCTACTAGGCAAGAAGTCGTGGAATGTCTACAATGCCGACAACATCGCGCGCGTCCGCAGAGACGAGGCGGCTGCCAAGGCTGCGGAGGAGGAGGAAGAGCGGCGCATGCAAGAGGTCGATGCCCAACGGCGACTGGCGATCCTGCGCGGCGAAGAACCTCCCCCGATAGAAGACGAGCGACAAGATGAACGAGACGAGGAATCCAGAAAGGCGGAGAGCAGCGCCGCTAGTGGGCGATCAAGGTTCCCCGGCCACGGCAGGAGGAGGAAGCGACCGGGCGAGGACGACACCGACTTCGAGCTCCGGCTAGCGCAAGAGAGGAACAACGCAACATATGCACTCGTCGAGTCGAGTCGCAAGCCAACGAGTTCCGCGCCCATTGTCGACCATGCGGGCCACATCGATCTCTTTGGCGACGAACGAGCAAGAGCGCATGCCCAGAAGAACGACGAAGCGGAAGCTGAGAAGAGGAAGAAGGAGAGAGAGTACGAAGATCAATATACGATGCGATTTTCCAACGCAGCCGGGAAAGACGGAATCAGCAAGCCTTGGTATTCGCAGAGCGACGGCATCGCGCCGGATGCCTCTTCGAAGGACATATGGGGAAACAGAGACCCCAATCGCAGGGCTCGGGACTCGCAGCGGATCATCTCGGACGATCCATTGGCGATGATGAAGAAGGGCGCGTCGCAGATCCGCGAGTTGAAGAGGGAGCGCATGAGGATACAAGCCGAGAGAGATGCGGAACTGAAACAGCTACGCAAAGAAGAGCACCGCCGCGACAAGCATAGGAGTCGACACACGGAGAGAGGAGAGAGGGAAGGGAGGAGAGAGGCGGGTTCAAGACGGCGCGATTCGAGAGAGAGGCGCGAGCATCGTGATGATCATCGCGAGAGGAGAAGGCATAAAGAGGAGGAGAGGCGGAGACGGCATGGCGACTCACGCTCACGGTCGCGGTCGCGTTCACCAGACACGCGACGGCATCGGCATCGGCACCGACGTGATGAGAGATGATTGACTGGTAGCGTTCACGTTGAACTGTATATAATTCTCCCCAGTAGATAGTAAGTAACGACTCATGACGAATATTCAAACTCCTCAGGCCCATCCAAACAAAATAAAGCAACCTGCAACGCGGCATCAGACTGCCCCAGGGTATCACTTCTCTGTCCACGGCAGCCTAATCTCAACCGGCCTCATATCCTGCGCAACCATGTCCACCAACGGCTTCGCATCCAGTCCCCTCAGCGCCTCCTCCACCTTGCCATACGTCTCCTCGCTCAATCCCTCCCTCCGATCACTGTACACATCCAAGCCCTCCTTGGTGAACAACGTCGGCGCGAACCACGTCACCGCCCACCTCTCCGTCTCTCCATCCGCCCTCGTCTCCTCCCCCCAGCCCAGCAACTCCCAATGGCTGCCCACAAAGAACAGCCAGCCCTTGCCGCGCCAGTCCCAGCCGCCGCCGCCGACGCTCTGGGTGTCGACGCCGGCCACGGACTTGAGGACGCCGCTCTTGTTGGCGGGCTCGTACTCGACGAGGTCGTCGATGCGCAGACGGCCGTCGGGTTTAGGCGGGAGGGGCGTGTAGGTGATGCGGACGTTGCGCGCGTCGCGCCACATGGAGAGGGTTGAGTGCGTGACGGTCCATGTTCGCGAGAGCCAGTCGATGGACGGGGCGGTGTTGTCTGATGCGATGGGTAATGGGGGTGAGTATTTGGATGGGAGTTTGAGGGTTATTGTAGAAGTAGAAGCTGGTTCTGCCATTGTGACTGGATGGCTAATAGATATGAGAGTTGGTGTTTGAGTAATATCGGACTTGCGAGTTGTACGAGATTCAGCTGGAGGGATGAGTGAGAAGTCTGGGTGAACCGGGATCTGGCGTCTGCCCTTAATGAAACAACAAGCGTCATCACCCTGGGCGTGATCCATCAAAGGATTGGCTGAAATATCCAGCATCCCAGCAGAACTACATCTTGATCAGAAATACTCCTACTTTCTGCTACTACCGTTGTTCCTCACCTGTCTAAAGATCAGCTTTATTTGAGAAACGAAGACAACAAGATAGCAGCTTGCTCTACCTATATGATGTTGGACGGCTAGTCCCTACATGTAATTACACGCTCCCAGCGCACTCCCTCCATCTCCGGCGAGCCCCAACCACATCTGGCTCCTGTCAATACATCAAGGCACCCCGAGGCGCCATACACCACCATCTTCAACCGAACATCAAAACACGCTGCTCGCAAGCCCACCTCCCATGCTCCATGTTCACAACTCCTTCCAGGGTAGCCTTGCTTCCTCACACCTGCCTCGCATCGCACCAATGCACGACCCCACTTTTACCAGAGGCTCAAGTCCATCCATCCACCAGAAAACGCGTGACCCGAGACCACCAACTTCTCACCAGCACTCTCTCACACGCAACACACCACAAAATACACAATCTCACAACAACCAAACAAATCACTGCCTATAGCCTCACCCTTTCTCAAATCCCACCAACGCCGCAGGCTATCCTCTCACACCAAATCACTGCCCTGGTCTCCATACCGAAGGAACAAAATAATCTACCATCAACAAGATGGATAACCCCCTCGATGACGAGGCCGCCGCCATGGCCCAAGCAATGGGCTTCTCCTCCTTCGGCGCCCAGCCCCGGCCCCAGAAGCGCAAATACAACCCCCACGCCGACGCAGTCACAAGCTCCGACTCTGCAACCGCCCAGCGCGCCGCGGCAAAGCCATCCGTCACGGGTTCAAACTCCACGCCGCTTGGGCTCGTTGCCAGCAGGAAGCCTGATTCGGCGGCCGCTAACGCTGATGAGATTGACCTGGATGAAGACGAGGACCAAGCAAAGGATGACGACAAAAGTGCCAATGTCGACAATGCAGATGTTTTGGAAAACTCAGCTGGAGTTTCAGAAGAAAAGCCGACTCAGTCGTCAGCGCCGGCGTCAGTGCGCCCTCCAGGACTCCCCAACCGTCCACCTCCGGGCGTCGGCGCCCCAAGCTCATCCGGAGGCCACCATCCGCGAACCAACCACAGAAGAGAGGATGACGACTCCTGGAGCGAAGGATACTACGATCCCCAGTCAAACGAGAACCCCTGGCGGCGATTGGAGGAAGCCAAAGGCTTGCAGCCCCTGGGCACATGGCTGGCTCCCGGCCATCGAGCGAGTGCTCGCAGTTGAGAAAACCAATTGCTTTCCAATCAAGCATTCTGGCATCACTCCCTACATCAACCGGGGTTTGAAACAATTGAGCCCCCCCCTACGGGATACCTCGAAGCCGGGGGCTCCTTTCTGTCTGTTTACGGCATGTCGGAGCTTGCTGGATGCGTCCTTTACTGGGCTCGAAGCTGGGTGTTGAATATCTGTTACAAATACCCATCATCACGTGATACCCCCAACTCAGGAACAGAAGCTGTCGAGCACTGGCACTATCAAGCGTCTCTTCCGTGGCGGGATGGCGGCACGCCCTCTGGGGATCTGACTGGCCCCGTGATGGCTTCAAGGCCTACTACGTTGGAGTGGTCTTAACACCACCATCTACAGCTACGGCACGGCGTGCGCGGGCACATGGTCACTCGCACATGCCCCAGGGCAACCTTTACATTGTTATACCGGACACGAGTATTGTTCTTGCTACAGAAGCTTACAGACATCCTCATCATCTTGCAATAGACTCCAGGGTGCGCCCAGAAACGCCAATGTCGCCAAATAGAGTAGTACCTCCTTGCCTTCAGTTCCCGCCGATACCCAATGCAGCGATATTCCATCTCGAATAGGAAAGACGCTTGACACACGCATCTCATCATGTCTGCCTCCACTCGCTCGCTGTCTCGCTCCCAGCCGTCGCTCGCACACACCCCCAGGATGGCCAGGTGGAAAAGAGGGCCCTTGAGCACCCTGCGGGCCTCGTGGTTTGCACGGGACGGCCACTTTGAACCCCCCGGTCCTCCTGCAGGCTCCCCCCAGAGGAGTGTACGTCTCGGCCTTGCTTTCCGAATCGCCATGAATTATCCAATCATGAGTCATTATCGTCGTAAGTTTTCTCATTTCCCACCCCCCACACCGTCACAGCGCCAAAACGGGGCTTGTGGCGGGTAGAACCGCCCGGCCGTAGGGCTGGATAAAGCAGCAAGAGATCTGGCATCCAACCCTGCAAGATTGCCGCGCGGTTCGCGCCAAATTCGACGTCAATCCATGCTAGTGACTGGAGCGCCTCCCCGGTCAAACCGCATATAGTGAAGTCGAACGGAGAGAAAAAATCAAGACTTTTTTGGTGGTGATTATAGCCGTTGGTGTAGAAAGGAAAGTTGAGAACCGCTTTTGTAAAAACTCCGGAAGGGAAAAAGAAAAGGGCAGCCTTGATGAACATCAACAAGGGCAAAAAAAAAAAAAAAAAGAATTGGATGCCAAAATGATCGTCTGCCTCTCCCGGCAACTTCAGTTGTACTCGGGGGAGGGAAAGCGCTGGCGGGCCTTTGCATGCTCCTTGGGGTGCTTTCGCGCGGCCTTTGCGTTCAGAGATCTATTGATGGCCTGTGTTAGCTTCAATTTCGTGTTTGCCACAAGAAGAGAAACAAAAGCAGCTCAGTCTCTTTCTCCTCTAGACCGTGCTTACTCCGCCCTCGAAGCGGAGAACTTTAGACTCTGTAGAGGGGGGGGGGGGGGGGGGGGGGGGGGGCGATAACTCACGAGACTTTCTTCTGAGTCCACTCAAGGTCGTTACGGACCTCCCGCGCGTCCCTCATGCCCTCCGAGAATCGTTCACGCGTCCGCGCAAGCCGAGCCTGGGCCTGCTTCTGGAGCTCCAGCAGTTCGCGGTGCTTGGCGTTGAGTTTACCAGAACTGTGTAGAAATAGCTGTTAGCTCAGTTCGACGTCGGACCGTTATCTCCCAAAGAATGAGGGCCAACTGGGCTCGAAATTGTCCTCTTGACTCGAGCCGTTTGAGGCAGCGGGTGGATCAGCTTACGTCTGAGCTTGAACGGCCATGCTCCGATCCAGCGGAATGGGGTCGAACGAGTTAGAGAAGCGTTCTTGCATGTACTCCTGGAAGTCGACGCCGCTAGCCGAGCCGGTGCTTTCGTAGTCGCCGCTAGAGCTGCCAATGTAACCAGCAGAGGTGGCGGAATAGCCAGAGGGGACACCGGAGGCGGAGCTCATGGTGTCATCGCACTCTGGCGGAGAGGAAGAGTACTGGCTGTAGGCGGGGTGCTGGTTGCCCTTGGAGGGAACAGCCATGGGCATGGTGTAGGCAGCAGTCTGGAATGGGGCAGACATGGTGATTTGATGGCCAATTGATGACGTTGACTGGTCTTAGAGTTGACGAGGAGATGAGGGAAGTGAGTCCGAAGTGTGTATGATGGACAGGACAAGTGACCAAGTTTGTGATAAGGCTGGAGAAGTGTCTAAGTGTTGAGATGTGGTAGTGACAAAGGCCAATTGTCTTGTGCTGAACAAGAGCAGATCTTGGAAACTTGGGGAGCTGGTAGAAGATGGCTGGAGAAGAGTGATACGAAAGGAAGAAGAAGAAATCATTCCAGCTCAAACAAAAACACCTCCTTTTATACTTTTCCAGGACCCTCCCCGGCCATCATTGACCTTAGTCAAAGGGATAAGAGAGCCCATGCCTTCATTCGCCGAGGCCGGCCATCATCGACCCCGCCTGCGGTGAAGAACAGGCAAACATGAAGTGATGGCGCTATCACCGTAGAGGAGAATGGATGAGACACTCGTGGAGACTTGCATGGTGAGTAGCTAGCAAGGGGCGGCGGCGGAGGCGTGGTCGTGGACGTTGTGGATCAGGATTCCTATGTCGACACGGCCGAGCTTTCACCATCCCGGGATTTCCATTGAGCACTTGAACCAACCAGAACAAGGAATTGAGAGGCAAAGGTGGAGGGAAAGGTAGGGGGGGTGGGAATAGCATCAACAGCCAGTTGGACGAGGCAGAGAAAACATGAGGTTGCAGTGGTGCAATAGGAGCCGACCTGGAATGGGTTGAGAACCGCTTTGAACTCTCAAACATACATCCGAGAACCTTGACCTCTCTACCCGCATACATATGCCCGGGGGGGGGGGGAGAGGCAAAGCTGCAAAGGCCCCGATCAGTGGAGCCGGTTCCCATTGTTAGATTAGACGCGGTGTGTATAAGGCGGAAAAGGGCACACCCACATTCCCAGCTCCAAGACCGGTAAAGGCGGTTGGGGCAGGGATGGACGCGGGATGGGGTATGACGAACACTTGGATCTGAGCAAGGAGAACTCAAGTATGTATTTGACTAGTAATAGGTAATAGTGGTAGCTCGCTGTAGACGAGGCGGATGAGGGCCCCCAAGCCGGGACAAGACGGGGCATGGAAAGGGTGGCTGCAACAGGCCATTGGGACCAACAGCAGGAAACGACTGAATTGGACGGAAATGGATACACGAGCCTTGACAAGAAAGAGGCAGCACCAGGGCAATGCTATGACATGGGGATGCTGGACTCGGCATGGCCAGGATAAGGCAGTGGAGAGGATTGTGCAGGTTCAGGACACGCCATGCCGTGAGCCACGAACAGCCGATGGCAGCGGACAAGAGAACGTCTGGATGAGAGGCGAACAACGGAGAGGAGCAGGGGTGTGTGTGTGTGTCTTTTGGGCCAATTCCGAGAGAGCAAGTACTATGACGAGACGGCTGTTGACTCGACCGGCTCTGGAGCTACATTAGCTGGGAACAACTTCTTGTCTAGCGGCCGGGGTAGAATTCAGAGACAAAGAGAGAGAGAAATGAAAGGAAAAGAAGAACGTCCAACAAGCGCGATGACGCTAGGTGGTAGTAGTAGTAGCAGTAGTAGTAGTAGTAGTAGTAGCCGGACGCGCAGAAAAGGTGTGCCAAAAGCAGCACCGGATTTGCTTCTGCGTCTCTTCGTTTGCTGCTCGTCGCCCCTCCCCTGCGCAGGCCTAAAATGTCATGGTTGGCTGCTTTGACGACGCCACGAGGGAAAAATAAAGAGGGACCCCCATCCGGCGCAATTCGCTGGCGCTGGTTCGAAGTAGTACTATCAAGTGGACGGTTCAAAAGGGCGAGAAAGGTAGAGAGCGGGTCAGGCAGGAGTGCAGCGCAGGCCGTTCTGGCGCCCTGGAAGGGGAAGGGGAAGGGGGAGGGAAGAAAGAGGGCGAAGTGAGGTGGTGGTGATGCGTTGTCAAGATATCCGCCAGAGCATGTTCCGAAAGGGCCAAGATTCGATCTTGGACGAGGTACGAGTTCGATGTAGCTTTTTTTTTTCGTTCTTTTTTTCTTTTGGCAGTTGATCCATGAGGCGACAAGGCAGCAAAGAGAGGGAGGGGTGCGTGGAGTAAGCGGACGTGATTCGTCCAAATTCAAGACGGTTGAAATTGGCACAGAATCAACGACATATCACGGGGGTTATCATTGCAAGCGAACTGAGTCAATTCGGGGGGGAAATTTAATACTAGAGGACGAAGAGTCCAAGACTCAAGACATGAGGAGAGCTTTTGCGGGTTGGCCTTGCGCATCCTAGATACTTACCTACTGATGCTGCTGCATCAAATGCCTTGCCGGCTGCTGGCAAATACGACCTGCAGCTTACGACCGCATACCATGCCTTGCCTTGCCGTGCCTCGCCTCGCCTTGCCCGGTGTCATGTATGTACGCATGTGCACGTACCTTACTATTACGAGCACAGCATACGGGGCACAAGCATTACATACATACATACCTCGAGCACGGAGAAAAATCTAGCATCAGCATCATTCTCGATGCCCGTGAGTGTTCCTGGTGCAGGAGATCGGAGCGATATCTGCACACCGCCGAGTGACTGCTGCTAGTCCTCCGCAGTGCCTGATGCCTAAGGTCGTGAGACGAAGCAGAGCTCTGGATGCATTCGCTCTCTCCTGTTAACGTATCATCACACATCCATTGCTAGTCCTGCTACTACTACTAGGTAGTAGTAGTAGTACTATTAGCATCATCATCTTTTGTGTTACACTCAGGCTTCTTCGGACCCCACCGCCCGGGGCTCCAGCACCTTCGTCAGGATAACTCGCGCGTGCCATCCTCTCATTGGAGGTAAATGGCCAAGTCGTGAGGCCGCGGATGAAGCTGATTCGCTCATGCTTGGGGGGGCCTAACCCAGTAACAATTGGTTGGAAAGTTGACACGAACCAGTCAGAACACTGCCGGGAAAAGGAAATCCAAGGACAGGAGACTAAAGAAAAAAAAAGAAGAAAAATAAAAGAGATGCCGTTCGTGGGCGTTGATTTCGGTGAAAAGGACCGTCTCAGCCGCTTCCGCCCCCCCTCCCCCGCCATATCAGAGAGGAAGACGACAAGAGTTTGAACACGTCAGCCGCAGGCCTCGCCACGGCCAATGGACGAATTATCATCATGGTTCTCGCCATGGCAAGGGCATGGATTGCCGCACAAGTACCTAGGTAAGGTACAGTAAGGTAAGGTAGGTACTGATCTCGAGCATGTGGTTGTACACAAGGTACGTTAGGCACATGTATGCACACACGCATGCATCGGCGCCCCGGATGGAAGCGGTGGAGACGCCAGCATCAAGAGTTCGTTGTCTTGTTTGCTTTCGGTGTGTGCAGGGCGTCCTGCTGCAAGCTCGTAGGGCCGTGCTGCATCTCCAGCGCATCAGGCAAGCAAGCCATCCTACAGTACAGTAGTAGTGCCCACCGGCGGAGGTGGCCAGTAGCCCGATAGAAGCAGCCCAACAGAACCCGCGGGAACAGGCTGTTCCTGCGAGCATCACCACTGTTCTCTCTCTCTTTCTCTCTCTCTCGGCTCGACGCAGCATGGCCCCCGGCCGGCCCTGGATGGCCCCTGCAGCGCCGCTTGGGGCAGAAATCACGCTCTGCCATGCTGCCGTAGGCACACATGTTGCACATGCAGCCGGTACCTATAACATGCTACCTACTACCTACCTAGAGCAGTATGTAAGACGAGCTGATGTCGGGTTCTATCTGTATGGACGTATCGGTGTACGTATGGGAGTACCTTGGGAGAACCTCTCAGCATGAGCATATATGTATGGCGTTTGATGGCGTCCATATACTACCTTCAAAGCCAGCCTCAAGTCCCCCCCCCTCGGACGTCCGGCGGGTTTCTGCAAGGGATTTGCTTCATTCGGAGCTCTACGGAGTAACACGCAGCCCGCCAGCAGGGCCTCGAATCTGGAACATGGCGCCCCGGGTGAGACGAACGAAGAGGCAGTTATGTGTGACACCGAAGCACGCCCCAGCAATGTGCGATTCTTTTGGAAAAATGGCTCTCAAGGAACGACTGACGTTTTGTGCCGTTGTTGGTTGCACCGCAAGAAAGCCTTTTCGTGGGCCTGTAGATACCCAAGCTTGATTAGATGCCGTGCAGACTCGCCCTTGACCGCCGTCTTTGGTGATGTTGCGCCGGAGACTGCCGCTCGATGGCTGGCTTGCTGGCTGCCACTCAACTTTGAATCGAGTCGATGCCATAGGAGATGCTTAGTAAGGTATCGCTAGCTATGGAAAGTCCTCCCCCCCTTCTCACTAAAGCCATGTTGTGCATGAATGTGGCTTTTGGACCTTCATGGGGTGGCGTGTACCAAGGTTTCTGCCATGACCTGAGCTGTACAATTTGAACGGCTTCGTCGGCCGACTGGGCTGAAGCGGCGATAAGCTGTCATGAACCAAGCCCACAAACCAGTGTGAGAAGAGAGTACAACTGAGACATGAACGATCCTTCAAGAAAGGCATTGAACCCAAGTTGTCAAAGGAATTCTGTCTTGGTGTGCTCGGATACACGCATCACGGGCATGCTACGAATGCATATCCAGAAGGATTCGAGGTTTGCCAGTACATAGGTACCTACAGCGGAGAGAAACAATGACATTTATCATGGTGTCGTGGGAAAATAAAGAAGAAAGAGAAAGAAAGAAAAAAAGCAGCCGAAATGGGAATATCGAGGTGCATCTCCACAATCCAACAACACTCCTCCCCCTCTTTCCCACACGCCCCCTCCATCCTCTAGCATCCAGAATGCCTCTTCCCGAAAGCTTGGGAAGAGTGTATGAGTTGTCAATGGCAGGGGGTGGAGGAGGGTGCAATTTGACCAGGGGTCGAAGAAGCGCAGAATGCTACTATTACGATATGGCGAGATTTGGAGGCGGACAATGATGGGATTTTGTGTAGGAGGAATCGCAATAAGGACGAGAGAAGTAGGAGTCTAGAGGAGGCGTTGCACAAATTTGGAAGAAAGGCATTGAGCACCCAAGGTACTATAGAGATGGAAAAGGCGATTCCTGTCAATTATACTGCAAGAGAAAGAAAGAAAAAGAAAAAAAAAAAGGCATAGAGAAAGAGATCTTCAATGACAGCGTTGCAATTGAGTTGACGGGATGCCCCCTCCATGAACGCCACAAAATGGACAACACATCACCACCTCATCCAAGGAATCCGAATCCCCCAAATTCTCTGGTAAATAATCAAACCCGGGATTGAATTGCCGCTGTAACCGTTTACCGGAGTCCATCTAATACAATTCCGGAAGCTTCAGTCAATGATCAATAACCCAAGCGTAGAAGAACGTGGGTGTAGTATCATGACATTTGTCCCAAGAGAAAAAAAAGAAAAAAAAGGAACGAACTCGATACACCACACAAAAATCCAATTTGCTGTGTTGTGCACGCTGAGGTGGCAGCGCCCCCACCCCTCTTTCATCTACTACCTACCTAGCCTATCACGAATTTTCCTCTCTCCAGCAAAACATCAAGGGAATACCAAGTCTCCTTTGTACTGGAAATCACTGACTCACCTCGGTAGTCTTTCTTGCTGAGTATTCATTCTCATACGCTTTCCTTCCAAGCGTCATCTGCACAGAACTGCCATTATTTACTACCATGTAGAAAACAGCGTAGAAAGAAAACAGACTGACGGCAACTTCTTCAACCAAAACTCAGAAAATAAATGCACATCCACCTCTCCCACATAAATCCCAGAACACCAAAACGTCCAACACCGTCCGAGTTATTACATCCTGCTGCACCATGAATTCCCTGCCTCCTGGGACGTGCTCGTGGCACCCCCATCTTTTTCATTAATGGGCATCAGTGCGTCCTGCTGTACGAAGCTGCCGCCGTTCTGCGCGACATCGCCACGGCATATGCCTATACCCGGCCAGCCACACACTTCTTGTGTGTTCCCTGACTGTGATTCTGCTTCTCTCACCAACATCATCATCATCATCATCATCAGCATCACCAACAGCACTATTGTTACGATCGGCATCATCTCTGATTGAAGACGCGGCCAGCTGCATGAATACGCAGAAAGTGGCGTGGTTGAAAACCAGCGGTCAGATAATAATAATTTCAACTCAGAGCTGGAACTAATGGCTTGATGCAATTCATGCCGTGATAATCATGTTGCGTGATGCACAACTAAGGGATCTGGGATATGTCGTATTAGATGTCTATCTAGGTTCCTAGTAATACCTATATCTAACTTGCACCTCCTGGGTGAACTACCTAAATAGCACATATGAAATCGGTGATCCATTGCATGACCAGAACAGCCCGTCAATATATCATGAAAGACCAAGAAAACCCCAAGCTTCGTGATATAAAACGTACATGTGAAGAAAGAAAAAAAAAAGATAAGGAGAGAGAGAGAGTGTGTGAGAGAGGATCGCATTGTACAGAGCGAAGAAGTTGTGTCAATAATAGACGTGTGTGCCATCATCGGGAAACCCAGCATTCTTCTATACCCGGGAAATGGCTAGCCAAACAGCTTCAGGAACCCCCAGATACCGACTCCGCTAAGCACCGGAATCGTCAAGTTGTCGTCCCATCCAAACACGTCGGCAACCTCGCTGGCTGAGGCCACGAATCCGGACCAGACGCTCATGATGCCAAGGGCCACCGAGCCGGACACGGATGCCATGCTCTCCGGGATGCCGACGGCATCAATCAATGCGCGCGGCAGCGACAGAGTGCCCGTGAACATGAAGGTTTCGTCGCCGGGCTTGGGACCCAGCGTCGGGACCAGCCACCCATACCACAGGTAGGAGGTGGCCACGCCGACGACAAAGGCGGCGAGCGATCCGGCCAGGGACTTGCCGCGGCGCAGCCTTGGGGTGTATCGCCCCCAGAGGCGGCCGAACGTGCTGGCGGCCGTGTCGCACCAGCTGAGAAGCAGGACGCTGATGACGCCAACGTCCTTGGGGAAGAAGTAGAGGGTGATCCAGGCGCCGAGGAGGTAGAAGATGACGCCATTCCAGCCCGAGTATTCGCTCTCCCTCATGAGGGCGCCGAGCACCTTGACGTAGAGCCGGTTGAAGGAGGCGTATCGGTGCCGCAGCCAGTCGACCGTCGTGATGGGCACCAGCGCGCCCATGAGGTACGGCGGCACGGCGCTCGTCTGGGTGCCCGAGCTGTAGAGCCAGACGACGAAGAAGCCGATGGACACGTGCAGCGCCTTGCGGGGGACCTCGTGCTTGTGCACAAACGTCCGCCAGTGCCTGTGGATGGGGATGAGGCCCAGGGGACTGGGGCTGCGGCTGAAGTCGCGCCAGCTCCATCCTGTGGACACGGGCACCGGTGGTGCGAGATGGCCGTTGGTCGTGGCCAGTCGCGAGGCCATTGCCGTCGCTGTCGTCGTGGCCGCCGCCATGATGCCGTCCTCGTCTGCTTTGGCCGCTGCCTTTGGCGTCTTGGTCTTGCGAGGCGTGCGCGTTTCGAGGGGCGAGCGGCTTCTTGTACGGGATCTTCGGGGGCCGGAGGAGCTGCTCCCCTCTTCGTCGCTGACCTCGTCCACCACCTGCTGCGCCGGAGCCTTCCTTCGACTCCGGGTCATGGGGCCCACGTAATCCTGCGCGTCTCGTTCTGACGGCGTCGGGCTGGGCGAGATGATGCGAGGCGTCTGCGGCACGCGGGCCGACTGGCGACGGAGCGACATGCTGAGGTTCGCTGGCGGGAGCGCAGGGCAGTTGACGGCGCCGACGACGAGCCGCCGCAGCGAGTCAAAGCCCGAGGGCCACAGAGGCTGGTCGTGATGGTCCCGGCGCGAGAGGCGCGGCGCGGCAGTGCTGCTGCCGTTGCTGCTGCTACTGCTGCTGCTTCGACTGTTTCGGCTGCTGCTTGTGCTGCTGATAGTGATGCTTCTGCTTCTGCTTCTGCTTCTGCCGGTGCCGCTGAAGCCGTGAGCTGGCGCGCTGAAGAGCTCAAACAGACGGAGGCCGCTGCTGTGCGATGACGAGGGGCTGACAGGGGACAGATTGCCGGGGCGACTTGGATCCTCCAGGGTGAACGACGGGTTTAGCAGCGATGCGGTAGAGGCTAGACCCTCTGCCACATTACCAGCGCCTGTAGTGATACAGAGATGAGAGAGAGAGAGAGAGAGGGAGATTGCGCCCAGCGGAGGAGAAGTGGAGGACAAGCGGGACAGGCCAGAGGACACAGAACGAGTATTTATATCAGCTGTCGTTATCGGCGGGAAACAAGGCGGAATCAATCCGTTTCGTTTGCGCAGCAGTACCGGGGGGGTCTTGTTGGCTTTTCGTATGATAGTACACGGAAAAGGGCCTTATGTTCTGTCCATGGCGAAGTTTTTTTGCTACAAGCCTCAGCAGAAGCCACAACACCCCCGGAAAGTCACCCAGGCTGTGTCGTGTGTGTGTCCCTCTGGCTGTGGCTGCCCTAATTGGCTAGTCGTCCTGGGGGAACTGGGCAAAGGCTGCTCGAATCACTTGTCAAAGGCGCGCATGTGACCCGCTGGTCTGGTCATTTTTCTACGGAGCGGTGCGACCGACGAGAAGGAATTGTCCGTCCGGACTTTGGAGTCGAACGTCATCGGGGGGGTCCTTTGTTGGGGCCGCGATTCTTGTTGGACTTTCACGTGTGAATCTGTCTCAGCGGCGCACGTGTGGTTTCTGGTGCAAGACAGCTCACAATGGGGGAGAACGGGATGGAACTGTAAACTGTCCCTTGTGACGAACTGCTACAGCACCACAAATTGATTCAAGTTTAGTTTGAAGCCAGAGTTCAACTGCATTCCTCTGGAAAACTTGTAGCAATACCTTATTAGGTAGCTACTATTCTTCTTTCAGGACCTGTTTTAATCGGATCTGGCGAGATTCCCGGCTTCCTCGGCCCAAGAGCCAATCGTGGGGCGCCTTGACCGACCCGAAATCCCAAGTGGGGTATCACGTGGCGATAAGATAGACTTGTCAAAATAATTTCTGAGATAGCCTCAAGCATGCGACGATAGGCCTGGCGCAGTTGCGCTGGGACATTTTCAGCAGACTCAACGAGAACATGGCTCCCGGAAAGGTCGCCGTGAAGAGGGATCCCAGAGCCTGGGATGCTCTAACACCCCCCTTGGCGCAATGGATTCTCGATGCCGTCTCCAGCATGGGGTTCAAGCAAATGACGCCGGTGCAAGCTGCGACCATGCCGCAGTTTCTGGGAAACAAGGATGTGGTGGTCGAGGTGAGTCTGCTGCTGTTTCGCCTCGACGGATTGGCAATCCAATTCTAATGTCAGCCATCTGGGTGGCTATAGGCCGTCACCGGTAGTGGAAAAACACTTGCTTTCCTCATACCCATCGTTCAGAGGCTACTGCGCCTGGAGGAGCCCACCAAGAAGCACCATGTCGGCGCAATCGTCATCTCGCCGACGCGAGAGCTCGCTGCTCAGATTCACACAGTCCTCCTCTCCCTTCTCGAATTCCACGCGCCCTCCGCCGAGATCCTGCCACACCTGAAAGGCGAAGACAAGCGACCCAGCAACACTGTGCCTGCCATCGTGCCTCAGCTGCTCGTTGGAGGAACCACCACGCCCGCGCAAGACCTCAGCTACTTTGTCCGACACAGCCCCAACCTCTTGATATCTTCTCCAGGTCGACTTGTTGAATTGCTGGGCTCGCGCCACGTTCACATTGACCAATCTTTCGAGGTGCTCGTCCTCGACGAAGCCGACCGGCTGCTCGACCTTGGCTTCAAGCAAGACCTCCAAACCATTCTTTCACACCTTCCCAAACAGCGGCGAACCGGCTTGTTCAGTGCGAGCGTCAGCGAAGCGGTTGGCGAGATTATCAGAGTTGGACTGCGCAATCCGGTCAAGATTGAGGTCAAGGTGAAGATGAAGGACGGTGGAGTGGTTGAGGATAGGAGGATCCCCGCAAGTCTCCAGATATCCTACCTTATTACGCCGGCTAGCCACAAGCTGCCTGCCCTGGCGCAGCTCTTGGAGCGCCTGCCCGTACGGCCTCAGAAAAGCATCGTCTTTCTGTCTACCTGCGCTGCCGTCGACTACTTTCAACATACTCTACCGCAAATCTTGCCCGAAGGATTCTCATTGCTGCCTTTGCATGGCAAGCACCCCGCCAAAGTGCGCGAGAAGAACTTTAACCGTTTCCTAACCTCAGTCTCTCCTACGGTGCTTTTGACGACAGATTTGGCAGCCCGTGGCTTGGATATTCCGCAGGTCGACTTAGTCGTCCAGATCGATGCTCCGTCAGACCCCAAGGTCTTTATTCACAGGAGTGGGCGAGCTGGTCGCGCCGGTAGAAAGGGACTGGCAGTGGTGATGCTTCATCCTGGACACGAGGAAGACTACGCAAAGTTCCTCGAGATCCGCCAAACCCCCATCACGCCATTAACAAAGCCTTCAATTTCCGTGACGGAAGAAGAGGCTCGCACTGCGACGTCGAAGTTCAGGAAACTGCTTCAGTCGGATCGCGCGATCCACGACAAGGCCCAAAAGGCTTTCGTCAGCTGGGTTCGCAGCTACGGAGCGCATCAGGCCACATCAATATTCAGAGTTGCCGACCTGGACTGGACGGATCTCGGGCACGCTTGGGGGCTACTTCGTCTGCCTAGGATGCCTGAGCTGAAGAATTGGAGTGGAGATAAGATGCTGGGAGTCGAGATGGATTGGGACACATTTGCCTACAAGGATGCGGCACGAGAAAAGGCGAGACTGGAGGCCATGGCGGCTGACAGATCGGGAGAGACGGAAAAGAAGGCAGCCGAGGCGAAACGTAAGAGGAAGAACAACGAAGCTTGGAGCGGAAAGCACGAGCAGGAGGAGCACCGCGTTGAGAGGAGAGAGAAGCGGCACAAGAAGAGAGAGGCTGAGTTGACGGCCAAGATGACAGACGAGGAAAAGGCCAAGCAGGCCGAACTCAAGGAGCTGATCCGGAAGGTCAGAGAGCAGAACTTGGCCAAGGCCGCGGCAGAGGAGGAAGAGTTTGATGGCTTTGACTGAGAGTTAGATATATGGCTTGCATTATTGATAATAGCGATACATGAGCATGGACTCACAGAAGTATACGACAATATCCTTTCAAGTCCCTCTTGATAAGCTTATTCTAACATTCGAGCCAGACACCTACATACTATTTCCAGGTTTTCAGTACATAGATCTTCTGATACGTCGTATCGGACCGCAGATCCCAGCAAGACCCGAGACAGCAATACGCGTATTCGATAGCTAGCTCCTGCCGGCTTTCGTATTAGCCACCAAAATAAGCAACGACCCACGTGTGAACTCCCTGGGACTCCGTAATGCTCCGTTCCTTCCGCGCAGAACAACTGCTCTCAAGTCACTGGTACCTAAGTATCTGTGGCTGAGCAGCCGGTCATCTTCACCTTATATCTCAGTACAAGCCGCCCTCTCCCATATCGTCAAATCCCCTTCAAGAGCACGTTCGCCTTTTCATCGCGACGCGAGCTTCTACTCTCTCGCGCATACCATCGATATTGGACGATTCCACAGCAGACTGCTCGCCTGTCGATGACGTGTCACGAAGCAGCACGATGTGACACGTGCAGCACATGTCGACGCAAGCTCAAGCTCCCAATGGTCCAATGCCCCGTATCATGGAGCTCTCTGCGCAGTCATCGGCCGATTGCCACTGGAGAAATGCCTGAGAAATGCCTCGCATTGAGGCCCATCGACTGGTGCCTTGCGTTGGGCTGACGCACCACAGCAGCCGTCTGATCAAGCTGTTCAGAGAATAAATGAGCATCACCTATCGAAAGGCCCTGCACCTCGACGCCTCATACGACTCGGCCTGCTTTCTGATGTCTCGGGCCCTTTCGGCCAATCACGGGCCATGACTGTTGCGTATCTGGTTTGTACCCCGTACAATCAATCAATCCTTTCTCTTCTTTGTGTGCGGGCTTTCTGGTGCCACTTCAATTGGCAGCTTGCCCCTGTCTAACCAGACGGACGATTGAATGCTTGCAGCTGGCAGATGCAGTTGCTGAGACAGACAGACAAACACAGAGTTGACAAGAGTGGCTGACTCCACTTCATGGCTGTTGTCCTACCCAGATGCAGGACTCTTGCACGATGCGAAACCCAGCACTCTCATGCTGTATTATTCTTGTTAGAGAAGATGGATGTTCTCGAAATCCGCTTGCTTCCAGAGCAAGGCCGCTGGACATGTACTGGTACCACGTACCTGTACCTTGGCGGAGCCCCATCAGCCACACGGGCTTTAAGCACGACACTCAACCCGCCTCGTATTCGGACTTGCGTGCCTTTCGGCTCCGCTCCCGAGGCTTTGTGGCGGAGCACCTGCCTGAGCGGCAGCTACGGCAGCCACGGCAGCCACGGCCTGACATAAAGCAGACCTCCAACTGGAAGTTACGGGTAATAAATGCTGGCGGAAGTACTGGGCTGTACCTGCCATTGACGGCAATCCGACCTATCACAGCAGGTGTCGACTTGCTGCCCTTCTTACCTTCTCCGGTCCTCTGAGCTTCAGCTTGGGCTGCCCAGAAACACCACGCCCAGAGAAGCCGGACCTTTGGGGTTCGGTCGTTCCCAGCTTCATCTTCGCCGTCTTCTCCGGCTCTTCCGTCTCTTGTTTTCTGCGTCTCATTCTCCATCGTGTCTCTCGCCATAGAAGGCGATCAACCATGACCATGCATCACCAGCTTAACGGGAGCTCCGGTACAAACGGCGTCGTCAAGACACGACGCTCCCACCGAAAGTCCCGGAACGGCTGCAGTGAGTGCAAGCGACGACACATACGATGCGACGAGCGCCGCCCGGCCTGCACCAACTGCACCATTGCTGAGCGCGCGTGCTCGTTCCCTCCGGCTCGCCAACAGAGCCAACTCGAGCCCCTGCCGCAGCCGCAGCTGCCGCACAGCCCGGCCGACTCGCATCTGAGCCGCAAATCTCAACACTCGCCGTCGTCGTGCGAGCCGGACCACCCGCTTCCTTGGCCTCAATGCGGCCCTGATCCATCGTCAGCCTCTCCAGAGTCTGTCTTCGCCGCCGGCCGCTTCAGGTTCACCCCGGCGCCCGCCACCGGACCGCAGACCCTGCCGTCCTTTACAGAGTCCTTTACCAGCACCGCCTACCACCCGCCAGTGCCACCAGGCTCCCTCTTCACGGCCGAGCACCTCATGCTCTTCTATCATGTCTCGGATGCCATGAGCGACTGCATCTTGGCCCGCGGCCAGATCAAGGTTGTCCTCGACATTGCCATCAAGCACCTGAAAGATGCGCCCTACCTCATTGACCAGCTCCTGGCCCTATCGGCACTGCATGTGGCCTTCACCAGCAAGCCCGGCGAGGTGCCGTTGAATGGCACAATTGCATCCTATCGAAATCAGGCCACCGAGTTGCAGACGCGTGCTCTGTCATCCTTTACACGCATTGCCGCCATGGTTCCCGCCGACGACACGGCCACATGCGTCCCTCGATTCCTGTTTGCTAGTCTACTGAGCAACCAAGTTCTAGCCGAGACCCTGCTGCAACATCAGCAGCCACAGCCCCTTCCCTATCATCACGATGTCATGGGAGGCCACGGCGGGGGAAGCGCAGGGGCCGGAGGAGGTGCCAGTGGTGGTGCTGTCAACTTTCATGGGTTCATGGAGCGCATGATCGAGTGCATCCATCTTCACCGGGGCATTCTTGCCCAAATTCGCCCGACCTGGGATTACCTCATGCAGTCGGAGCTCTTCCCCTTACTCCGCATCACCCACGATGCCAACATCACAGCGGTGACCCTCTCGTCCGGCACAGAATGTGCTGCTCTTCGACAGATGATCGATGCCGCAGCTTCCCCAATGTCCCAGTTTGGAGACTCGTCACCACGCCGTCTTGACCGAGCCAGCGCCGAAGCTTGCCGCACCGCCATTGATTCTCTCCAGTGGGCATTCGACATGCATCGAGCCCTGTCTGAGCAAGACGTTCCGCATGCACCGTCTGCCTTCATTGTCACCATCGAGGCCGAGTACGTGAAAGTGTTACGATCACTGCTTCCTGAAGCATTGGTGATTCTGGCCTATCTGGGCGTCCTGATACATCGCTGCCGTCGCTTCTGGACGTTTGGCACCGCAGGGGCAAATCTGATTCGGGCCGTTGCCGGCTATCTTGGGAGCCACTGGCACGAGCCGCTGGCATGGCCCTTGAAGGTGATTGAAGAGGAAACTGACTGAATAGAAAGATACGAAGCAAGGGGAGATTTTCAAAATGAGCGAGCATATACTGTAATTGCGCTACATATCAAGAGAGAGAGAGAAGAAGAGAGAGAGAGAGAGAAGGGAAGAGTCATTTTTCCCTAGACGCATCACCAAAACGGTTATGCATTGGTAAAAGAGGAAATCATGTGTGTACAGCGGTTCTATGGGCATTTCACGAATCAAAAGAAGAAGACATGTGAGCAACGCACCATGTAGACTGTACCTATATACGTTAGCGGTTGTTCTATCCAGGTACTCCCTACCTGGGTAGGTATTTACATCTTTTGAGAGACTCTTTTTTTACTTTCATCTTTTCATTTTGCAACATGGCATATATAAGGGGGTGGGGGACATACAAGGCAACTTCATGATACATATAGATAGACTGGGCAGAGGTCTCGGTTCAAGCATCTTGTTTTATATACACTGACTACTATTATCATTGTTCATTCTTCTTTCTAGATTGCAGTTATATGGCACACACTCTTTATAATCATCTGATAACTAGTTTAGGTCGGTATTACTTCCAATATTGTATATTTACAGGCTAAAAGAAGAAGGAGGAGGACTACAATTATCGAAGAATTTCTGCTTTTTCTGGTTCATTCAACGATCCAGCTGACAAGACAGCAGCAAGTTCATATCAGTTCCCACTTTCCGCTCATCTATGCCCTCTTCCCTGATAAAGAGAAAATCCTGCACTTCATCAAAGAATCGTGCCGTCACTGCGAACGTCGTTCGTTCACTCATCTTCTCTCTTGACTCACTGCACCTTTTTTTCTTTCTCTCTCTTGAGTTTGATTTCCCTAAAACAACTCTTTGCCCACCGGATTAAATCCCCCAAATTCTCTACATAACCAGATTTCCATGCCTAACATGTAGTATGATTTCCTCTTGTTCATCTGCCAGACAGAAAGAACCTCAAACGGCAGCGGCGGTGGTGGTGGTGTGGGAGACAGTGGGGGGGACAAAAGCCTGCATCTTACCTCGGCGCTGGATGAAAAGGAAACTGTCAAGCCATAAATCAGGACCACGTGGCTCTATGGTTTGGTATCACTACAAAGGAAAAAAAAAGGGAGCCGAAAGGTCCTCGTCGCTCTGAGCCCAGGCCATGGCCGAAGAGCCCGGAGAGGTGGCCAACGTCATACTAGTCCGTAGAACTCCCATCCGTCGAGAGCTCCGTACTGTGTCTCGGCCTTCTGCAAGCTTGGCGAGTCTTCGGCATCCCGCTTCGGCGCAACTTCCGCTCGAAATTCTTGCGGAAGTCAGAGCTCTTCGTCATCCAGCTCGGTCGGCTTCAAAAGACCGCCGACCTTTTGCCGTCTCTCCATGTCGGCAGCTCGGGCATCGCGCTCCTGCTGTTCCTTTTCGACAATGAAAAGCTCGGCGTTGTCGCCAGCGAACTCCTTCAGGGAGATCAAGAAGTCACGCAGGTTGAGGCGGAACTTGTCGTACTGAGTGTTTAGCGTGAAAAGTCCCTCCACGAAGCTGGCCACTTGAGCGCTGCGCACGCTGTTAGCATTGAACTGAGAGAAAAGAGCACTGACGACGATTACTTACGCTTGAAGGTTAGGGAAGGCATTCTGCAGAAGGGTGGCGACAGACGCCGAGAGGAACTCTCGGTTGCTGGTCCCGGCCTGCGCCTGATCGGGGGTGTAGATGGGTCCCTGGATCTTGGGTGGTGTTCCATCAGCCGGGTGGATGAAGTAAAAGAGCCTCATCAGCAGCATCGACTGCGTCTTGAATCCCGCCTTGTGGTCACTGTCCGTCACCACAAAGAGCACATCCTGCAGAATGCTGACGAAGAAGCGCTGGAAGAAGGCGTTGGCCGTGCCAATGTCCGTCTTCTCGGCAATATTATTGATCAGCTCCAAGCACATGTTAAGGCCTGCAGCTTCAACGTCTCTGTTGTCGTGCTTGAATGCCCAAGAGCACGAATCAATGACAAACTTGAACTGGTTGTTGTCGAGTTTGAGCAGCGCTATCAGTTCGTTAGCTGATGTGTCCAGATATCATCACACCGTGTCTGAACTTACCAGGGAAGCAGTGCAGGTTGATGGCTCGCAGCAGGTTGAAGAATTCAACTCGGTGCTCAGGGTATTCTGAAAAGTCCTTGTTGATCATCTCCAAGGTGCACTCGAAGACGTTCTCCATGATGGTGGGGACCTGATCCTCCATCAACGCCTATTGCCGTGTTAGCTCTTCATCAAGGACAAGGTGATTTTGGAGGATGACATACAGCAAGCTTCGTGATGATGGTCGACATGGCCTTGAGGACTTCGGCATCACGGGCTCCTGGGACGTTTCGGTTGTAGTCAACCAGAACTGAATCCAACAATGGCGGCACCATCTGAGTCCTGACAGCCTGCAAGTCTTCAGCCTTTTCGACGTAGGTCTCGATCAACTTGAGGATTTCCTTCTTGATGGTGCGCAAGCCGCGAACCTTGGGCATCTTTGTCGCCAGGTCACCTGTAAAATCTCAATTTAGTACCCATCTTATAGCAAAGGGAAAATCAAGAGTCGACGGGCACACATACCGTCTCGTGCAACAGCCTCGGAGATGAGCGAGCTAGTGGCTCGATACATCTGCAGCATGTCGTGATAGATTCGACCAATTTGCGGATAGAAGTAGGGGCCGGTGGAAGAACAAGCGGAAACGTTGGTCTTCATGATGTTTCCGATAACCTTGATCGTCTCCGCATCTTGAAGAATCGAGGGGTTGATGTTCGCCTGCTTGATAATCTCGTCCCAGGCAGCATTAGGAATGTTCATCAGCTCAGCGAGCAACCTCTCCTGTTGATTCTTGTTGCCCTGAGCGGCCACCATATATCCACAAGCCTCGTAGAAGGTGTGAACCTGCTGAGGGGTCAGATCACAGGTGATCTTGCCCATGTTGCGCACGATTTCTTCAATGAACGGCTCTGACTCGCTAGGCTGGAGCGCAACGAAGTGGCGGCGGCATTGCCTTGCAATCTTAATGAATGTATCGCATGCCATATCCTGAACACCTGCTCAACGGTTAGCACAAGGGAAAGCAGGGGGGGTGGGTACATGGCAGGGAATGAAATCATACCTTCGTGAGACTCATGCATGAATTCGAATAGCTTGTTGACGACGGTCTTGAGGAACTTCCAATGAGCTTTAAGAAAGCGCGGGTACTGTCCGACAATGTACATAATGTTACTGGCGACAACGGCCTTGTTGTCCTTGCCACGCTTCATCTCGGTAAGGCCTAGAAGATCCTTAATGACGGTAACCAGGAATCGCTTCTCCGTTTCCTCATTCATGGCGAGGGAGATGGAGCCGATGGCCCAGCAAAGGACGTTGCAATTGTGCCATGACCACTCAGAGCCGTCCACCTGTCGAGCCAGTTTCTCCGTCATGATGTTCTCGGTATCGACCACGTCCAGATGTGTAAGGTAGACCAGGCATTCCCTGATGGTCTTATAGAGCTGCACAGTGTCACCCTCCTTGACGAATTCGCGGACAATTTCTCCCTCGTCGTTTTCCACGATCAGGACTTCCTCGGGACGGACCATCTTTTCGATCATAACGACTCGCAGGTTCGAGAGGATCTCGTTGTACTTGTGCTTTCGAAGAGGATAGTTCATTAGGAGGGTCGGGTTGGGAGCTCCGCTTCCAGACATGCCGCCTCCGACAGCCAGCAGGGGGTTGAGATCGGTAATGGGAAGCTGCTGCATCTCCTCGTAGAGCTCTTGAACGAGTTTCAGCCAGTAGTCGAGGCAGATTTTGAAGACTTCTCGGTCGTCAATCTGCGATATCCTAACGAGGTAGTAGTGGCCGTGGAGGAGGTAATCTCTGTTAGGAAGGTTCTCAATGAGCTGCGAGCAAAGTTAGCAAAGCAAAGAGAGTCGAGGAACGCGTATGGGGTTCCCAGTCATTCTTACATTCAGGTGCATGCCAAAGAAGTTGCACAAAAACAGAGCAAGGTTCTGGACGAACTCCTGGTCCCTGGAGTTGCTGCTCGGGTACGTCGCCTTGAGGTCGAGCGAGACGGGGATGATATCGGCAATCGTCGTCAGGACCTCGGTGAACATCTTGACCAGCTGTTCATCGTACGAGTTGGGCTGTCCAGGTCCGCCCGTCTGAAGACCACCAATCTCTGTGAGGCACTGAAGAGTGACGTTTCGGAACTCGGGGACCGACAGAAAACGGGTTCGCAGAGTATCGATGAGAGGTGTCTCGAAGATGTAGCCGAGCGGAATCCAGTTGCAGAAGCGGAGCAGCGTCTCGAGCGTGGCCTTGATAAGGCTCGGTTGATTGGCGGAGTTGAGGACCTCTTGGCAGAGCTGGAAGATCTGGGAGAACTCGGCGCACATGGTTTGCTTCAGATTCCTCGTCTTGGTGGACGTCATTTGCTCCGCTGAGTAGTCAAAGACCTCTTCGGACAGCAGGCGAAGGATGATCATGTTGTTCTCGCAGATCGAAAGGCTGGAGTGGCAAGACGAAATGATTTCGTTGATGAAGGTGGGCCAGTTGTGCGGCCATTCTTGCTTGAGGATCGAGACGAGCACGAGGTTGAGCTTGTTGAGGAGCGTCTTCTGGGCTCGTAGGGTCTCTTCGCTGTTCGAGCACTGGATGATGAACTGCACGATGAAGTTTCGAATACCTAGGACGGGCAGACCAGAGCGATTAGCAATGCTCGGTTGGGTGGAGATGCAGCACCGGCGGAGGGGGGCTTACCTTGGCACTGCTCCCGAGGCAGAACTTTCCATCTTGTCATAATGACATTGTCGAGAACTTGTAATCCCAGGTCTGTTTTCCAGATGTTAGTCAAAAGAGAACATGGAATAAACATAGAATCCGGACGTAGAAAGCCTAGGCTGCAAAGGTATTGCAACTAGCTCGTTGGTGGCTTGTCGCGCACGCGCGAGGCGTGGAGGGGGCGGGGGGAGCACGTACACTTGGTCTGGGGATACTGCGCGTCGGAGAGGATCTTGTCGACCATGAGCCAGGCATCGGGATCCTCCTTGAACTGTAGTTCGAGACAAGCCGTTAGCGATCGTCATTCAAGCGTGCTCGAGTGCTGCCCGTGCTGCACAAGGTCGGCGGCGCGTGGAGGGGGGGGGGGGAGAGAGTCGAGGAGTATTTACCTGGTTCAAGGCTGCTTGAGCTGCTTTTTGCTACAAGATCGAGCGAGAAAAGACCGAGAGTGTCAGCTCCAATACCGTCCCATCACAGTTTCCATCAAGAGAGAGTCGACTGGCAAGGTGCGCATACCTGCTCGCCGCGACCTTCGTAAAAGGCCCGGACCGTGCTGTCGAGCTCCTCAATGGTAGGCATGGCGGGCGAGACACCGGCGAGGCGAGGCGAAAGGCGAACGTGTAGTTTGTGTGTGTGTGTTTTTTCGAAGGCGGGGGAGATGAAGTAGAGGTTGAGATCACGGATCGAAGTTTCGACGGGAGGGACACAAAAGGTCCAGGACGACGCAGCGCACAAAACGGGCGGGCTGTGCGGTGCGTCTGCGGCGGGGTTTTTCTTATGGGAGGAGGGGGGTTTCTGTTCTGCTGGTTTCTTCTCTCTCGGAGCGCAAGAAGGTCGGCAACAGACGGCGAGGAGGAAGGGATATGAAAAAGGGCGTGAAAAGAGAGGCAAAAAGGAAAAGATACGTATGGGCGGGTTTCGTGGAGGAAAGAAAATTGCAGGGAAACTCTTCCAAGTGAGGGAGAGTGAAAAGGCGGGTGGGGAGACGAGGTTAAGCAAAAGAGGTGCAGCGGATCCTTTTCCTGCCCACCTGCTGCTTGGCCTTTTGGCTCTGGAAGTTCAAGGTCGCTGTGCTGGACCGCGACTTGCGCTAACGGGTGCTGCAGTGGGGGGGTCAGTGCGGAGGCTTTCCAGGCGGCTCGATGCCTGGGAGCTGCGCTGAAGAGCCGGGAGCTGTCCGCTGTAATGCTAAAGCCGGGTGATGACCTCACAGGACGTCCGAGGCGACACCAGGCAGCTGGGAAGAAGATGGATGGAGAGAAACAACCCGGAGAAGATGCTGCTGTGCGAGGGTCAAGAACATGCACGGCAGTTGAAGGTGTATGAGTTCTGCGTATATCTAAAAGGTTCATCGTCAACTAAGAAAAAAAAAAAAAACCAACAAGCTCATCCATCTCCAGGTACCGACACGCAAACATTGCATCTGGCACTGGCGGGGCCGAGCTTCAAATCATCCATGCATGCCTTTGCCTTTTCTGCTCCGTGCATCCATCTAGTACGTTCTACCTTAGTAATTCGCCCTCCCGTTGCCTCTCAGCCTCCTCCCATAGGTACCTAATTAATCGCCTCGCCATCAAACCACCTTGACACAGACTATGACGCCAGACTTCGTACCGCTACAAACGGTAGCCTCAACCCCCCTCTCAGCTCGTTTCCAGCTCCAAAGCTGCTTCACCTTATCAGCTCATGGATACCTAGTACTGCAGTATCTTGAGTATCTAGGTAGATACTACAAGCATCCATCCTCTGGAGAGATTGCACCAACCTCGGCCATGGAACTAAACCTTCTCCGTTTTGCTCCCTTCGCTAGACCGGAGTTAGCGTTATCATGACGTTGCCCATCTTCAAACTCGTCTCTAACTCCATGTCACTGTAACGGTAACTCTGTGCTTTGTGCGACCATCTCATCTGTCAGCCTTTTCGGTGTCACAAATCTTTTCATATCGCCGTCGATTCACCTGGAGGTACTCTGTCTCAGTTAAGGGCCAGTAATGCTTAAGACCCGATATCCTTTCTTCTAAACAAAAGGTTGTATTTTATGGTGTTTATGAGTACAAACCGCCGCATCTCTTCAAAGGACATCGCAAACGCCACGCATTCTCCGACAATTGCAACTGTCTTCTTCCCAAAATCACTCGATGTAGCTGCTGTTGTAACACCCAAGACATCCTTTACAGATGAGAGCGCCACCGCCCGCCTAATTCCTATGCCTTACCCGTGTAGCCGCACTCAGCCAGGCTAGTCTTGAGGGCATCAAGAGCCTTGTCAATGTCTGTCCTGTTGGGGTCCATCTATAACATCAAATCGTCAGTATAATGTTTGCGACTGCACGAGGCTGGGGATTCTTCTGGGCACTTACGACCGAGACACCCATGTGTCCAAATCGAATGTACTTGGACGCAATCGCCTTGTGCAAGCCACCGGCAAAGATGACGCCCTTGCTGAGCAGCTTGGGCAGGATATCGGGGATCTGAACGCCTTCGGGCAGGTAAATGGCCGTCATGGCATGCGACTGGTCCTCGGGCTTGGTTGCGACAATCTGCAGTCCGAGGTCGGAAATCGTCTTCTTGATCTTGTCAGACACCTCCTTGTGCCTCTGGAAGCGCTCGGACAGCGGCCGTGCCAGGATCTGCTTCAGCGCCGTGTTCAGGGCACGGACAAGCTGCGGCGACGGAGTGGCAAAGTACGAAGGCTTCTTGGCCTCGTAGTTTTGCATAACTAAGAAGAATTGCTGCGTCAGTATCAATCCCCCTCCATGCTCAGATAAGGCATGTAAGCAGAAAAATCAAAAAAACATACTGGGTGTCCAGTTCTTCATAGAGGCAAAATAAGACGTCGGAGGTGCCTTTCGGTTCTTGAACGTCTCCATCGCCCGTCCGCTGAACATCGAGATGGACAATCCCGCAGGGCATCCGATGGCCTTCTGGCTAGCAGTGATGACGCCGTCCAAGCCCCAATCGTCAAACGCAATCTCCTCGCAGGCCACGCTGCACACACCATCGGCAATGACCAACGTCTCCGGAGAGACCTTCTTGACGGTCTCGACAAGGCCCTTGAGGTCGCTCACAACACCAGTCGAGGTGTCAACATGAGTGACGGTGACCAGCTTGTACTTCTTCTCCGACAGCGCCTTTTCAATCTCTGGGAACTGAGGTCGTCCGCCAATGGGGCCCTCGAGCTTGGTGGGCTTGGCTCCGTACGTGGTCAGGCAGTCGGCGAAGCTGTCGCCAAAGTAGCCGGTGCTCAGCACCAGGGCCTCCTCGCCGGGCTCGATCAGGTTGGCAGACACCAGGTCCCAGCCAAGAGTGCCGGAGCCGCTGAGGATGAAGGGCTGCGACGCGGGATCGGTCGTCTGGAAGAGCTGGCGCAGCATGCCCAGGGTCTCGCCAAAGGTGGCCACGAAGCCAGGGCCGACATGGGACTCGCTGCGAGAGCCAATTAGCCTTCCATCTGCGCATTTCGACAAGTAGAAAAAAGCAAGGCGTGGTACCTAAAGTGGCTCATCGACTGGAGGACGGCATCGTCAAACTCAATGGGCCCGGGAATGAGCAGAGCCGGATGCGCAGCTTGGGAAGACATGGCGGCTAGCTGGCGACTGTGTAGGCGTGGCGGCGACTGTGCTTGACGAACGAGAGACTCGGAACTCCAACGACGACAACGCAGAGAAGAAAACGAAGACGACGGACACGCAGCCGGATAAGAAGAAGACGAAGACGAAGACGACCTGGAAGATCTGGGGATGGGGGTGGAGGGGTAATAGCTGCAGCTGGACACCAGCCCTGCGGCCACTGATTTGCGGGGCAGGCCCCCTAAAGCCCGGCGGACAGAGGCCATTTGATGGCTTCAGGTTTTCAGTGCTTCCGCTTCAACACGCTTTTGCGCCCGAGTGACTGCCTACCTACTAGTAGATGAACTCCCCACTCAAAAAAAAGCATGGGGACGGGATGCAAATGGCCGAGGGATCTGGGAAAGGCTCACTGCTAGGCACGGAGAAGGCATGGCAGGCGAGCAGGGGGAATAAAAAGGGCCAATTGTATGTGATGCCCCAGCGGCTGTCCGGCGCTTGCGCTTCAGCGATTGCCCGATTGCCGGTGCCGGTACCGGGACAACCAGCTTCCCCGCCGTTGGGACGCGGCGGGCTCCGGAGCTGCCTCGGCATTTGAGCCGCTTCTTGGTCGTTCAACCTCAAGTGTGGCCGTGATCAGTTGCTATTCTCTTGCTCTCCCATGTCATTTAGCATCAGATACCGCATACCATAGGTAAGCCAACACGCAGCTCACTGCTCGAGAACACTCTTTTTCTTCAAACTTCACCAGCAATCAAATAGCAGATACTGTCGACCCGACCTCGGATTCTTTCGGCGGCGCTTCATCGCAAACTAGCGGCTATAGGTTTAACCGCAGTCCAACAGGACGGGATATCACAACAGTTTTTTTTCGAGTCTTCAGCAGCCAGAATTGCCGCAGCTACGCGTCTCAACAACAAGCCGCGACTTTCTACATCAGACACGCCAGCTTCCGGCTACTGCAAAGATCTGAGGATCCCACCTTGACACGTGCCGATGGTCCAACCCAGGTCCACGCCTCCACAAGCCACTCGTACCAGACCTTGGTGTCATCCGTCTGCCTCCACATGCTCACCTCCAGCTCGGTATCTGCAGGGAAGTAGAGCGGCGTCTGTTGGTTATGTTAGCAACTACGTGATAAAAAAGACCAGACCAGATGATGGTGATGCTCAGACTCACCTTGAGAGGGAAAAAGATGGGGAACCAAGACACCATGTCCTTGCTCTTCTCGCCAATTCGTTCGGGGTGAATGCTCAGCTCCGTCTTCCTGCCCTTGTTGGGGCCAGACTTTTGCTCGTATAGCGTGGACTCAAAGTACCCTGCCAGTCCGTGTGTCACTCCGCGAGTTCGCGCAACAAACGTCAGATAGCAGAATCTCGAGTTGTGATCGTTAGCTCCCGCAGCGCCTGCCATGGAACCTCCCGTGCCGCCGACAACTCCTCCAGAGCGCCGTGCGGTGATGGCCTCGAGCGTGGAATCGGGAATGGGGTGGGAAAACTCCCATGCTTCCTGAAATCGAGGGTGGCCAGGCACCCTCTGGGCCACAAAGTCCAGTTGATACAGGCTCACCACCCAAGGCGTATCGTAGGCCGTGGGGTCGGTCTGAGCTCTTGAGCTAATGTCCGTATACAGCTTCGGCGTGGAGATGGGGCTCAGGTGCGCCGTGTAAGACTGTGGAATCGAGATACCGTGAGGCTTTGCAAGAACGTGCTGAATGCCATCCAGACACTCGGGAGAAAGCTCGTTGTCGCCAAAAGAGCCGAGCAACTCGGAGATGAGGATGTCAACCTTGCCATACACTGGCCCTGTCTCGGGAGAATCCGAGAGCAAGGGCCCCTTCCAGGCTCGCATGTCTGTCTTGACAACCTTCACCTTGCCTCCCCACTTCAGGGCGTTTTGGCGGAGCAGGTACACGTACGCGTTGGGATTCTTCTCGACAGCCCAGACTTCCACCTCGACGCCGGTGGACTGTGCTGCCTGAATGGCCTTGGTGACTATGGGGCCACGGCCGGAGCCGGCAACTGCCATGACGACAACACCGGGCTTAGAAGTAGGGAGCTTCAGTTCGCTCCAGTCCTTCAAAGCCTCCGCGATGGCTAACTCGTACTGGTCATACTTGATGGCGTCGTTTTCAAATACCTCGTATGTTGCCGACTCCAGATTGTCCGACAGGGGCTGTAGCGGGGATTGTAGCCAGTCTTGGAAATTCGTGAGAATGGGCGTCTCTAATGCTGAAAATGGAGGCTGTTGTGTTTCCAACCACCGCAGATATTCGCAATGACCATTGGACTCCGTAGACACGCGGAAAGCGGGCTTGTGAGCCTCCTCCAAGCTGGGGAAGTCGGCTGCTGTCATAACCGACTTTTCATCCTTGCCGTCTTCGGCAATGTGTGAGACGTCAGGGCCAACATCACAGAGCAGAATCCAAGGGGCATTCTTCAAGCGCATGTAGGCGAAGATCATATCCTGGTGCTTCTTGGTGAGACTAGGATAGCCGAGCTTGTTGTTCTGGAACACCTCAGGGCCAAACGTCAGGTAATGAAGAGGTTCAGAGAACCATCGGTTCTGCAGATCCTTCTCTGGCACGACTCTCGGCATCTTCAGAGCTACAGAGGGTTTAAGTTAGTGAGCTTCCTGGCGGGATGAGGAGCGATTATAGCAAGAAATGATGGGGATCTAGCTCACCAACAAGAAGCCGGGGGTTGTATCTGCACACCGATCGAATCTGATGCCAGGAATCCCAAGTCGTAAAGATGTCAATCTCGCTCTCCGTGGCGTTGGTAGCCTCCGCGTTCAGTGACGACAGCGTCTCCGCCTGAGACCCAGCAAGAGGTTCCCGGTACATAGGGATATGAATCAAGATGGTGATTGCGGGAGCAATCGTGAGCGCCTCCTGAACAGCCCTAGAATACTGCGCAATCCCCTGACTGCCGCCATCCTTGGACGCATCCCGGCAAGGCCCCGTGATGATGATGCTCTTCACGCCGCACCAGCTCGCATAGTTGATCTCAAGGTTGAGCACCTGGCGCGAGATATTGGCAATGACGGGGTCCTTTGAGCAGAGATCGATCCAGGGACTCGTATAGGCGACATAGGTGTTGACCGCCTGGGAGGGAAACATGCCAGTGTCCTCCGGCGTGAGAGGCGGGAGAATGGGATCAGCCCGGCTCGCCGTGGCCTCGCTCGTTGCCTTCTCGCCATTGGCCTTTAGCGTTGCCAGATGCTCAGACACAACCTTGAAGACCCGAGACTTGAAAAAGCTGTTGGTGATTGGCGTCGTGGCCACAGCAAACTGCATACACGGTCAGTCTTCTGGGACAGTGTTGCCGTGCCATCAGCTCACTTGCATCTTGGTTGAGCAGATATCCATACTGCAACTCCGAGAGCGGCGTTTCCCTCTTGGAGTCGTGATATCCCAAAGTGAACATGGGGCGATTCTCCCGAAAGTCTCCTCGGAGGGAAAAGCCGCCTGCGTCTGAGTCTGAACCCATTTTGGTGCGCAAAGTTGTTTCAAAGAGCAGTTTCTGCTTGTCCTCCTACCCGGAAAGGTCTGTCCCGTCTTGTTTAGTGGACAGTTATCCAAGTAGACAGTTTCTGCTCTCACCGAAAATAAAAGGCTCCCGCTAAGAAATCGGCGGCGAATAGCAAGAACTTCGACACTCGAGACTTTTCCGCCAAACTCGTGGGTGGGCAGAGAAGATCAGCCTCCGCTCACTTGGAGGTTCAAAGCTGGAACGCTTGAGTTTATGCGCATCCTTTTTCTCAGTGGGAGCGAGCGGTACAGTGTCGACACAGTGCATCTGCTTGTCAGTCATGATCGTGCTTGCATCCTCCCTAGGTGGGAACATGATGGGAAAAAATCGCGAATCTGACTGCATACTCCTGTAAATTGTCAATACGGGACTGGGGTGCGAGAAACAGCGTGATTCAAACTCATATGAAGCGTGAAAAAAACTCAAACTCTCCAAGCGAATCCCCTCCCATCAATCTCACGATCTTATACTTCAAGCACCCAACAGCCAGTGTGAACTACCTTCATCCTACACAGTCAAGCTAGTCCGCTAGCCTCCTTTATCGATAACAAGATTTCGCCCGTCCCGCCAAAATTTTCTAAGCCATTGAAACCGCAGCCTTAAACCCAAGAAGCGCCTCAGCCTTCTGTAGACGGTTTTGCGCGGCCAAACCACCCAAGCAGAAGACGACAGATACATAAAGAGGAAGCAGCATGGCCGACAGAGGAGCGAAGCGAGCGAGCGCAGACTCGGACGAGCCGTCGAGCAAGAAGACCAAGATGGACGGAAAGCCCAATCCCTACCTCGCCCACATGTACGAGGAGGAGAACGGCTGGGGCTCGTCGGCCAGCGAGCCGTCGCCCAACTCGCCCTTGGCCGGCATGAAGCGTCGCCAGACCACTGCCCAGCAGGCCGCCAAGGCCGAAGACTCCGATTCGAATCCCTTCACGGGCCGTCCGCACTCGCAGAAGTACTTCCAGATCCTGCAGACGCGGCGAGAACTCCCCGTCCACAAGCAAAGGTTCGTGAATACCGCCGCCCCGTTGAAGAAGCGCCTTGGTCGAAAATTGAAAAGAGAAGATGAGAATTGCTGACATGGGACTGCGCGCTTCCACTCCAGGCAAGAGTTCCTCGACAAGTACCACTCGACCCAGATCCTCGTCTTCGTCGGTGAGACCGGTTCCGGAAAGACGACCCAGATCCCCCAGTACGTCGTGTACGACGAGCTGCCGCACCTCACGGGCAAGCTCATCGCCTGTACGCAGCCCCGTCGAGTCGCCGCCATGTCGGTAGCCCAGCGTGTGGCCGACGAGATGGACGTCAGCCTCGGCGAGGAAGTCGGTTACAGCATCCGTTTCGAAGACAGGACGTCGCCCAAGACCATGCTCAAGTACATGACGGACGGTATGCTCCTGCGCGAGGCCATGCACGACCACGAGATGTCGCGATACAGCTGCATCATTCTCGACGAAGCGCACGAGAGAACGCTCGCGACGGACATTCTCATGGCTCTCCTGAAGCAGATCGCCGAGAGGCGCCCCGATCTCAAGATCATCATCATGTCTGCCACGCTCGACGCCCAAAAGTTCCAAAAGTACTTCAACGACGCGCCCCTGCTGGCCGTCCCCGGACGAACGCACCCCGTCGAGATCTTCTACACCCCCGAGCCCGAGCGGGACTACGTCGAGGCCGCCATCCGGACGGTTCTCCAGATCCACGCCTCCGAACCCGAAGGCGACATCCTGCTCTTCCTCACCGGTGAAGACGAGATCGAAGACGCCTGCCGAAAGATCGGCCTTGAGGCCGAGGAGCTGATACGGGAGGTGGATGCCGGCCCCTTGGCCATCTACCCTCTGTACGGCACGCTGCCGCCTCACCAGCAGCAGCGCATCTTTGACAAGGCACCGCCTCCGCTCAGGAAGGGCGGAAAGCCCGGCCGGAAATGCATCGTCTCGACCAACATTGCCGAAACCAGTTTGACCATTGACGGTATCGTCTACGTCGTCGACCCCGGCTTCAGCAAGCAAAAGATCTACAACCCCAGGATCCGAGTCGAGTCTCTGCTTGTCTCGCCCATCTCAAAGGCGTCAGCGCAGCAGCGTGCCGGTCGTGCCGGTCGTACGAAGCCTGGTAAATGCTTTAGACTCTACACCGAGAAGGCGTTCAAGAAGGAGCTCATCGAGCAGACGTACCCCGAGATTCTGCGGTCCAACCTCGCCAACACGGTGCTGGAGCTGAAGAAGCTCGGCGTCGAGGACCTCGTCCACTTTGATCTCATGGACCCTCCTGCTCCGGAGACCATGATGCGTGCGCTGGAAGAGCTCAACTACCTTGCCTGCCTTGACGACGACGGCGAGCTGACTACGCTTGGCAGCCTGGCATCCGAGTTTCCCCTGGATCCCGCCCTGGCCGTCATGCTCATCTCCTCGCCCGAGTTCTACTGCTCGAACGAGATCCTCTCCATCACCTCTCTCCTGTCCGTCCCTCAGATCTTCGTGCGGCCCGCCAGCAGCCGTAAGCGAGCGGACGAGATGAAGGCCCTCTTCTCCCACCCCGACGGCGACCACTTGACCCTCCTCAACGCCTACCACGCCTTCAAGGGCCAGGACACGGCGGACCCCAACTCCGTGAAGCAGTGGTGCCACGAGCACTTCCTGTCCTACCGCCACCTCTCCAGCGCCGACAGCGTCCGCGCCCAGCTCAAGCGCATCATGGAGACGCACGGTCTGGAACTCGTCTCGACCCCCTTCGAGGACAAGAACTACTACACAAACATCCGCAGGGCCATGTTGGCCGGCTTCTTCATGCAGGTCGCCATGAAGGAGAGCTCCGGCAAAGTCTACCGCACTGTGAAGGACGAGCAGGCCGTCCTGATCCACCCGTCGACCGTGCTGCGCACCGACTTCGACTGGGTCATGTACAACGAGTTCGTTCTTACGTCTAAGCAGTACATCCGCACATGCACAGGCATCAGGCCCGAGTGGCTATTGGTAAGTTTTTTCTTTTGCTTGCGGCCCTGCATACACATGGGGGAAAGGAGAAATACCCCACCGTCTTGCGTCTTACATGTGCGTATACGAGCAGAGCTGACTCCGGGATACAGGAAATCGCTCCCGTGTACTATGACCTCGACACCTTCGAGGACGGAGAGATTAAGCGGTCATTGGCCCGAGCCGCAGAGAAGAAGAGGAGAAAGGAGGCCATGAAAAAGGGTGGTCGGTGAGAGAACGGGGCTGCACACTTGACGTTGATCAGACATGGTGCAGCTGCTCTCGCTTAGAGGCTCAAGTCCTTTCAGAGACTTGGCTCCCTCCTTGTTCGCGGCGTCGTTTGAGACTTTGGGCAAAGCCTTGGCTGCCTTGTTGTCTTTTCTGTTCCGGTTTTTCTTTTCTTGTCTTCTTGTCTCGCTTCCAGCTTGACCAAATTTAGAACGGTCCAGGCCTCTCTGCGTTTTTATCACGATCAATTGTTTTTCTGTTTTCCTTCCCTCTTCCTATTCACTGATGATCGTGGGGTCCGAAAATCTCAAAAGACCCCGCTCTTCGACTCAGACCTGCAGGAGGATGGACAATACTAATGCTATTGAGCAGCCATCAATCAAGCCTCCGTCACGACCTGGGAGGGTTCAGAGGGCAAACCGGGATTTCTGGACGTGTACTACGGAGTGGAGAGGGCACGGAAAATATAAAAAGGAACCTTTGTGCTGTAAGGGAGGCATCACACTAGCAGCCACCTTGCTTTTGTTGGGGGGGATGGGCGCTGGCTTCCGGCCAGTTAGATGTAGACAGACGCCGGCTTGCCTTGATTTCAGCATGTATTAAACAGGATTCGAGGCAGCTGCAATATAGATGGCAATCACTTTGGCGAGATGGCATAATCTCCTCTCTCACCTCGGCACCCCCCCTCCTCTCTCTCTTCGCTTGCTCGTATGTACTTCGACCCCTTTGTAGCTGGAAGGAAGCATGTCGGTGGAGGGCCTGCTCTTCGACAGGCGGTCACGGCAACAAACAATCCTCCAGACACGCCTTCTCTTCGGCGCCTATGCTTCATATACGAATCGGGCAAGCGATTGGCGTGCTGTTCATCAAATTGGCCGCAGTGTCTGGAGCATGGACAGAATGTGGCGCCCGGGGAAGCATCCGTCGAGTAGGACAGGCGACCACAGCTTGGCGATATGTCCTCCCCATGGTGCAGATACTCTCTTTTCGGAGGCCAACACTTAGTACTTGGGCCCCCTTCGACGCTGTGATCACGGTTCAACAGACCCTCGTTTAGTACACATCCCAGGACCCGAATTCCCGGTGAATGGTACGAACGGAGTGTCTTATATCCATCCCATATCAGCCTTGAGTAAATCTTCCCTAGCGACGGCAGTATCCGGTGGGCCGCCCAGACCGATTCGTGGCCGGCGGATTGTCACTTGTGCTTTAGTGATCGCACATGCAGAGCACCAGTGGCTTGTGCTGCCACCCTTTACACCTAGTACCGGGTTCTTGAGGTCACTTGTAGTAACATGTCAGGACAACCAACCAACTTTGCAAAAAGCTTACACGCCAGCTAATGTAGCCGTGCAGCCACTTTCGGTAGGGAAGCAGGAGATAAGATGAGCTGGTCTGGCCTCGTGGCGAGGATGGGCCCCCTCTTCTGCACGCTATACGCTGCAGGCAGGAGAATATTGGTCCGGGGAATAGAGGTCCCTTGATCCGACGCCGAGAGCAGGCCAGTCTGCGAGTAGTTGTGGCGTTAGCATGCATATGCATGTCTTGTGGAGGAGGTGTGGTTGTAACTGCTAGATGGAGTGGCATGTATGTCTTAGTTAACTCCAGCTGATGAGGACAAGGTGCGGCTGTCAAGAGCTGGAGAGGGGGTGCCCGCGATAAGCTGTTAGCGCTGCCATCATGGGACAACAAAGACAGATCCTCGGGCGATATCTGAATCTGAGGCTACGGGATACACGTATGCCCTCCACAGGCGTGTGTTCCCGAACGGCCATCTTGTGACAACAAGGCAGCGATGCAGCAGGCGAGTAGGACTGCTCCTCAGCCGGAAATGCATGGCCAAGCATCAGCACTCGGGAGTCTCCCATCGTAGTGACAGTGAAATGAAGCCGATTGCCGTGGAACATCATTCAGGCAAGCATCGTGACCTTGATTCCAGAAGAGAGAAGAGATATTCAGTCTCAACTGCTGGACTGTCTTCCGACAGTTTCCGCTTTGCAAAACACAATCTGATGCATGTGAGATATGCAATATGTTCTCTCGGCATAAAAAGACACTTGGTCTTCTGCCAGGTGCAGACGCCACGCCAGCAAAGCGAAATTGTTCGCGCGTCTGAGATGGCGCCTGACGCTTTAGCATGCGGCTGAAACGCCGTCGGAGTCGAGGTGGGAGAATTCCTGCATTGGGGCTGTTTTCTCAGGCTCTGAACATCCAGGCAGGCTCGGCGTGCGATATGTCGACATGAATCGGGCTCACTAATGAAGCCGGAGGCGATCAGTCCACCAAGTTGGCGGGAGTACTGTGTCGGGCATGCATGGCTTCGGGCAGGAAGCATTTGGAGGCCTTAGTAGCAGGTGAATAGCTGCTGAGTATCATGAGCCCCGGAAGCAAAGCCCCTTCACGTCATGTACTTTGTTTGAAACATCGAAAGGCTAGAAGTCGGCAATGAGTTCCGGAGCTGTTCTGAGGCCCGTCGATGCCATGGGCATGGAACAACGATGTCGAGTATTATGCAACAGTCCGGTTCCCCGCTGACTTCGGGGTGACAGCGTGCCAAGGTTATGACAGTTGAATAGAGCAGTGTTGAAACAGCCTCGGATGACGCAGAACCATGCCTCTTTCTCCACTGCGCTGAGCCCATGTCCCAGTGACTCCGTCATGGCACCACGAACTCCCTGTTACTGGTGTTCAGAAGCGACGGTCTGTCAAATTACAACGGTATTATTGACGGGCTAGGATTCCAGATTTAGCAGCACAGACATGCCGGGTCGATAGCCGTAATTCCATGACGGGGCGAACCGAGCCAAAGTCGAGCCGGGGGTGTAAAGTAGCAGACAACCAGAGCCAAGTCCAAACGCGCCGTGCCTTGGACAAGCATATCAAGGGGCATGCTCATCACAATCCATGACGTCCTTGCTTGCAGGCTCCTCATAGAGCCGTGCTATTCGACCGCAGGGGTTTTTGCCGTGTTGAAACCTCTTCTCCGTCTTGCTCATGTTGCATTTTTGATCCATGTTGCATTCCAGGCCTTCCGGAAGCATCTCCATGACTGCTTCAACCCAATCTACTGGCTTTCCTATTGAAGTCTCAGGAGACAATGATCAGTATGCGACTTGATGTTTGTTCAATAGTGTGAATCAAGCGCCGCGGCGTTGTCGCTGTCAGTGGCAGCTGAAAACACTTACCATTCACGCCCCCTGGAAGCTGCAGAGACATGATTTGAGATAACCCACAGCCAATAAGCGACTGCATTAAAAGCCATATAATGCATACTTGGCCAGAAAAACAAGAGTTTGCGAGCATCGCCTGCACTCTGCACCACAGAGACAACAGCGCTTCGGAAGCAAGTTTCGAATGCTCTCGTGTTCTCGTCGAACGCCCCTCGGCCGTGACCTCTGCGGTCCGTGACAAGTCTCTGTCTTGGAAGTCGCACACCCCCGGAGATATCGTTTAATTGGCCTTCTTGAGAAAAGCAAGGATCGTGGCCATTGAGAGGCAGGGGCTCTGGGCCGCTGGTGGTGGGTTTTGTGCCTTATTAGACAGAATCATCCATTCGCTGGGCAGTGAGGCCAATGGATGGCTATCAGCCACGCAAGACGTATCAAAAGCCACCTCGGAAAGACCAGTTTCCGGGCGCCTTGCAGTCCGTTGAGGCAAATGGATCATGAATCGAACGTCATGCATGCAGAAAGAAACCAGGTGGCGAGCTCTGCCATGCATTCTCGTAGCAGATCCAAGGAGCAGCTGGAAAGACTTGGTAGCCGTTGTCGCTCCTTCTCCAGTCTCCTACAGGGACACAAATCCGCGGTTCATGCTCGGGCCGTTTGTGTAAGGTACACACAGATAGTGCGACGTCCGACGGTTGCTGATCTTCAGCGAAAAGCCCAATATATACGCCGTCGCGCACGATTCGGCCGACAAAACGAGCCAAAACCCCCAACTATTAGCCGCCTAAGCACACGGGCCGGGCAGTCCCGTTCCCCATATGGTTATCCTTGTGCTAATTCATCGTTCTGTCTTAGCCAAGTGCTCAGGCTGTCAGTCTCTGCTTCGCCTTGGATCTCAAGCTCTGTCCCCGAAGTGGGCCGCCTTAGATTCTCTCGACAAGCGGCGTATAGTTGTCAGATACCTCCCGACCACTTCGAGCTCTGAGGCTGTAAGGGGTGCGCCATAAGCATCCTTAGCAAGCAATGTAAGGAGTCCGCACCACGTCGTCGTAAATGTACACATACGCAGCCGAATATCAGAGTGCGTAGGCTGATACGCAGGGCTCCCTCTAGCTGCTTTTCTGACGGCGAGTCACCCGGATGAGCTGTCGAACCCTGACGGCGCTCTCATGATGTTGAAGCAGAATGTTGGTGATAGCCGTAACTTTGGGCATGCCATCCCGTGTTGCAAGTGTCGACATGTATTTCATCTTTGCCTATGTTGATATAAGCCAGCGTTTACCTCCACAGTATCGTGTAATGTACCTGGTCGCCGGGCCCCAAGCCAGTCTCCGTGAGCACTTGTCGAACCGAGAGGCAAGGAAGAGAACCCTATGACAAGTATGCTCCCCGTAGGGCACAACATCTTGCTGCATCTTGAACGTCAACCCGGTTGTGCTAGGTAGTGGACAAACTCTGCTCTGCACAATCAAGTATGCAACAGGGATTGCTAGTGCGCTTCCACTTACATTCAAAGAGCGGCTGGGGAGTTGCTATCTAGGCAGACACCCCTGACCATGATAGAACATCCCCAGCCGCCACCACCTTGTCCTGACATGGAGGAGGGTCCTCTCGGGTAGTGCTAATGCACATTCAGCGTTGGTCCAAACACCCCCCAGAGTCCATGAACATGTACCTTCGAAGACACGGGGAAGCGAATAATAATCCAGGGTGAAAACGTTTTCGCAGTGAGACACCATGTACTCCGTACTCCGTGGATGTCCGCGTTTTGTACGGTGCCCGGGATGTGCTTGAAGCTCAGGTCTGAGAGACCGGCCATCCAAATATCGATATATAAGGCCGTCAAGAGACCTGTCTTCGCCTTGTTCAGAATCAGCACTTCCGGCATTCTCTTCAGCACTGCAAGATTTGATACCTCATACTCTCTGCAATCCCAGCAATCATCTGTCCGGCCGATCAGCCTTGACCTCTTCTTGTCATCCTTCACTCTCCCTTCAACATATACTCCATCTTATCGTCAAAATGAAGATGAGCGGCAGCGGAGGCTTCTACAAGTATCGCTGCAAGAACTTCTACTCGCACAACTGCCCTAACTGGGTCTGGGTGAACAACTCGCCATGTGCAACCTGCATCGTAAGTCACATCCACATATGAGTCTCCCATGCCAACGGTGTGTGTATGGGCCGGTCGAGTAGGCGCAGAATAACGAACCGCTTGTGGCTAACACAAGAGAAACCAGGCTGAAGGTCGAGATGCTGAAGAACAACAACTTCTTCCATCCGCCGTGATGTCTCACGGAATTGCCGCACCTCGTATCCAACAAGATATCCTACAACATGCTATCACGAACCTGATGGCGCCGAATGAGTCTGGAGAAAGCTGTCTCCCCGATGATGAGGCCAATGGCGTTGGAAGGGATAACCAACCGCCACAGGATATGACAATGACTTGCTCGTATCGAACTGTTGCTGGCTGGCAATAGGCGACCAAGTCGATCAATTCTGGTAAGAGACCACGGCATCCTGGCCCGCTTTTGTTTGATTCGAAGGGCTGACGATGGAGTAGGGGTTATTTAGACCAGTGTTCGGCAGCACAAACTGTTTGACGCTGCAACTGTGTAGGTAGGAGGCGTAGACATCAACCATCTCAGCTTCAAAGGCAGGGCACTTGCCCAGGCTTGTTGATGGGATGGGAAGTGTCTGCTCTCTCACACTCATTTGAAGGAAACGGTCAAGGAAATGGGCTAGGACATTCAATGGTTGAAGCGAAGAAAAAAAAAAAAAGAAAAAAACCGGCGTTGGTTCAAAAGAGAAGGAGGACCGGATTTGATCATGGAAAATTTGCACTACCCTGTTGCAGCAGTCCTTGGCTGCGCGGGATGGCCTGACGCAGATGAACTAACTGGCATCTGAACAGGTCGGCAAACAAGGGATTGGAAAATGGCAAGGAGTTGGGACTTTTTGCTGTCGGAGGGATTTGCGTACCGCTGGGAAACGCCGGAAAATCTTCAACCTCGGGGTGGAACAGGATGTGTTGCTTTGTCTTTCTTTCTTTCTTTCTTTCTTTTTTTCTGTCTCTTTGTCTGTCTGTCTGTCTGTCTGTCTGTCTCTCTCTCTCTCTCTCTCTCTCTCTTTGGGGCGCGGGATGATGAGGCTCTGCCTTGGTCTCTCGTTTATTGCAACCCCGGACTGTCGTTACAGGGCCTTAGGCCAGTGGTAGCAAAAAAAAACGCATGGCATATGATGCAATATAAACTTGGCGTCTCTTCTTCCCAATGGTTGGTAAAGAGCCAAGAGCCGCTCGTGTCCGAAGGCGTAGCTTGGTGAGATGCTCGTGAGGCTGCAGGCGACGCGAGACTCAAGCAGCATCGGCCCTTGATGCTGGCAAGCCCATGCTATCCGCCGCTCTAGCCTCGGCCACGCGGATCTTCCTAGAGACTGGTGCAAGAAACTGTGCGGTCCGTCTGCCGTTAGCTGCCTCGAGGCGTGCTGCGGTAGCGAGTCGGGTCCGTTGCCGTCGAATGCTTATTCTTCGGATGTAGCAGCAAGTGGCACATAGCCGCTGGAGTTTTGGTGAGGGTCAAGCTTCTGTCGTTCATGGGGTCGGGAGGTGGAAGAGACACGGACGCTTCCTTGGCCTCTACACCTGGTGGGGCGATGGAATTCTGTGCTTTCTTCGTCTTGGCCAGATGCAAGTCATGCCTGCCGTTCGCAGGGAAGCCCACTTGCCTTGCAATTGCCTCCCACTTGCCTTGACTTCCACTCGGCCGAAGCCATGGGGAAGCACGACCTTGACCTTGACCTTGCGTGGCGAGGTGATAAGGTGTGGTCGGGCACGGATACTCCGACCGTGCCTGCCAGGCCGCTGCGTGTACCCATGTAGCGACTACTCCATCCAGAGTATCTTGTCCAGAGGATTCAGCGTGTTTGAGTCAATTCCAGATGCCAGGCTCCCCAATGTTGTCACCCCAGCTCTAGCAATGAGTGCTGGCATCCCGCCATGCAGGTACCTATGGTGCTGGTCGTGGATACCTTACGACTGTCCAGGAGATGCCGGGGGTCACCCCCATGAGGACCAGGCAGGTACGAAGCAAGATTGCGCTAGCTGCACTTGACGTCTCATATCACATTTTATCTAAATGCCTTCTACCTTTCCCTCTTGAGCGACGATTGTCTGCAAGGTACCTTGGTATGCCAGGGAACCGACAAGTCCAACTGAAGCCAGTGATGCTGCTAATGCAAGATTTGTATGTATGTAACATCTCAGACTCCTACCGGGCTCATCTTCGTTCACACTGATTCCGACTACTACAGCAGCACCTGCGGAGAAAAGATAAGGTAGGGCTTCGCAATATTCGTACGACCAGGTCCTTGTACTAACGTAGTAGTAGGAAGACCTTGCGCACCACCTGCAAGTGGGAAGTACCTGGTCGCCCAGCGCGAAGACAACATGCCGCCGCTCCGTATCACGACCAGAGTTCAACAGCGCCGACTTCACTCTTGATGCCCTTCACCCGGCCCGGCCGGTGGCACGAATAGGCGGGCAGGCGAATCCCACCACGCTCAACAAGGGGCCCCGAATCGCTCTCGGTGGGCAGCATGGCAGCCCAACTCTCCGGATGAACCACTCAGACGAGCGGCGTGCCGACCTCTTGATTGCCCGGCCAGGGAAGTTCTCCGAAGCAACCAGGTCCGGGATGGTTGTTTCAAATTTCTGTTGCGACATCGACCAGGATTGACTCCCCCACTCGCCCACCTCCCTGCATGGCCATGCACCCCGGCTTCGAAGTGGCGAATGCCTTCTCTTCGCGATTCCCTCCTCTTTCACTTTATATCCAACTGAACCCTACTCTTTGTGGACCTGATCAACACGGCCGCAGCCGTTGGGGTAGTGCCACTCGGGAGTCGTCAGTCGAAGCTTCATAGATGGGGCCTCAACTTCCAATTTGGCGAATTCTCGGCGGATCAGTATTAAACCTCTTCTCTAGCCGGCTCCCCGTCTCCCCAAGCGTCCTTGATTTGCTTGCTCAAGACAGAAGGCTTCATGAAATTTCTCCTCCTGCATGCCATGGCATCTTACCCCTGTGTATGACATCGTCAACGTGCCGCGTTATTACTAGTATATCTGCCAGGGACTGGCGTCATCGGAGGGGAAGATGTCACCGACTTTAGCCGTGATGCTACCCACGCGTTTCAGGAAATTGATATGATATGTATGGACACGGGCATCGATAGAGTCAAGTGCAAAATTTCGGCCCAGAGGCCTCATCTATGACAAGTTCTTCTATGGGATGACCAGGCAGGGATGCTTCAACTTGGCTAAACGCCATCATCGCTTATACCGGCTGCAACACGAACTTAGGACCAACCTCTAGGCTTGGGTACTGGAGACGGTTCAGATACACATCTCCAGCACATTGAACTGGGCTCACATGGCTGGCGTCTTTCAACTAGGCTCACAAAATTGCCGTGCGCGAATCACTGCGCATGTCATCATGTCGATAACCTTGACCTGCAGAGCATGTTAGCGACGCATCTTTCAGTCACATAAGGAAGGGGGTTACTTATCCCCTCGCCGCCGGGGGGTTGTCCTCCAGCCATTTCTGGGAGAAGGACAACCAGGACTGCCCTCCAAATCCATGGCTTGTCCTTATGGTCCAATAGCCGTATCAAGTACGACGAGGGAAAAAACACGAACCAACGGATGACAGTCCGCGGATCTGACTCATAGACCAAGCCGGACATGGAACCGGACAAGTACTGAACTTTGACTCCAACTCGAGATGGGTCCCGGTTCCACGCCAACTTGACATCAAGTCGTTCCTGCAATGTCCCTAACGAGCCGATGTCCGAAGCCAATCCTGTAATAGACCCGCTGCTTTCTTCAAGATCATCGAGTCCAAAAGTCCGAGCAGCGTATCGCAGCCCAAGTCTTCTAGATGCGGCCCAAGAAGCCCCCTTCTGTTTGGTTCGCACTGCCAACTAGGACTTGTTTTTGTTTCCTCTCCAGAACTCGTAGGGTTAGGAGGGCCTTTACACGCGCACAAAACACATCCGCAAAAAACGCGTTGTCATCTCGGGTAGTCTCTCGACAAGATCCACCGAGGCAATCACTGGAGAATCCAGCAGGGAACTGGCGTCCTTACGATATCGAGGGACAGAGCCAACGACCGAAGGTTAATGCGCGTGGCCAGGCTAGATGCGAGTTCATCACACACCAAGGGCTGGGTGCTGTGGTGTGATCCAAGGAGCAAAGGGCTGACAAGCGGAGATCAAGACGTTGGTAGTCGTGTTGGCAGGCGCCCTGTTTGAACAAGGGGGCATATAGGAAGCATCCGAGAGCATTGCAGAGTGGCGTTGCGGCCCGTCAGAAACCGTTGCATTTCTGTGTGTTCCCAGATGGCCCTCGCGACACTGCTGTGAGGCAGGCTTCCGGCAAGGTGCCATACGGACATGATGAAACGCGATTTCTGACTGTTTGAGGCCCATTCTGTGCTCAAGCCTCATGCCACGGACCGTGCATCATGGCGATGAAGCCACCGATGCAGGTCCCAACAGACGGCGTCCCTTTTTCCGCCCATCAATGCCAACAGCATCTCAAGGACAGCCTATTTTCGGCCAGAGTGCCGGTTCCAGCGGAGAGAGCTGACGAGCGTCCTCGGACCAGAGGCTCTTACAATAACTCATGGCAATCTCCTCTCGCGCACCATTCGGTGACTGGATATCCTCCCTCCTAGTCCATCAACACTTGGCTTCATCTTGACCACGGTGCCCGCCTTTCAGCAGGACCAGCAGCGTCGAGTAGCACGATCGGCTGATTTAAAAAGGATTTTGGACGACTCAGCGCAGAACTGAACCAGATGTATGCTTAGGGTTAAGTTCCGAGACTCGTTCCCTCTGCTAGACTTGGCCATCCGGGTGCCAGACGGAGACTGGCCGCAATAGATCCAGCTGCAGCATTCAACGAGGTCCTGGAGCAGGCTCGGACGCGGCACATTGCGGCCGACCAAGCCTTGGAAGAGGGGTCTGCGATAGACATTCCTTGCGGAAAACGAGAGTCGGGAAACTGTAGGGGAGGCGACGTGCAGATGAGCGTTGCTTTCGAGGGCAACGAAGGGGGCTTGACCTTGAGTTACATGAAGAGATCTGGGGGGCGAGACGTACTATAAGGACGTATATTCAGACGACGACGACGTCTCAAGCAGCAAATCGAGGGATTGGCGTATCGGGAGCGGCTCTGGTGGTTCTTGGTGAGTGAGTAGGTAGGCAAGTAAACACAGGGAAACGCGTGGGGAAGCTATATCGAGGGGAGCTTGCGCACAGACCACAGCCACAAACGCGCCAGCACGTGACACATCCGCGGATCGCTGAGCCACCATTCACCAGCCACATCCCCCACAGCTGTCAGTGTTGGCTTGACATCAGTGCTTCGCACATCCCGGTAGTCTCCCAGCATTTCCATGTGATACCAAGGCAGCGCAACCTCCAAGTCCAAGGTCAACTTGCACCAAAGCGAGGTTTTGTATAGGAAACAAATTTCGGATGCTTTCTAGCTGCACTCACAGTGCCTTCTACTATGGCAGACTCTGCAAAGTCTCAACAATCCCAACCAAAGATCACACAGGATATCGTAGATGCCGCAAAAAAGGCCTTTGATCCGTCTGCTTCCCAAGAGAGCCGGCGAGATGGCTTGCGAGAATACAATGAGCTTATTGAGAGGTAGGCGAGGCTACATTAAACTAACTACCGCAGTATCTCCAAGTATGGACCCTGACACACATATCTAGAACGCAAACATGGATCTTGATACACGTTCTCAACGCCCTGATCAAGCCAAACGTGCTCCCGCCATGGTTAAGAGAACCCTTAATGAGGACTCTAACCCAGCTGCCGCTGCGGCCCGACGGGGTTCGAGCCACGATGGAGTTTGTGTTTGCGGTGCATCCGAGCAATACCGGGAAGCCCGCCGAGGACGCCGCCAGCGGAAAGCAAGGGGCTGCCATCACGCATGAGGCGGTCGCCGTTGCGACGAAGCTGCTCTCGTCTGTGCCGGCTACGATGGGTGCTCAGCAGTGGTTCGAGGGGATATCGGGCCAGTTGTTTGCTCTGTTCGATGGCGAGGCTGGACCGGATGTTGCGAAGACGGCGGCGCAGATTGTGGGGTTTGGGATCTTGGGGAAGAAGCAGTTTGGAGCGCCAGGTAAGACTGAATGTCTTTTTGCATGATAATGTCCATTCACTCGCATACTGATGAAAGGAAATAGGGGCGCCTGGATGGAATGCCTTTGTTCAGCCTCTGATAGAAGCCATCAACCCGTCGCTGAAAAGTTTCAAGAAGGATCCCTCTCTCGATTCAGATGACGTCGAGGAAGTCGTTGAGCTGGGACGGGAAAAGGTCCTCGTTGCTGCTTCCGACCTCGAGAGGGCGCTCAAACGACTAGAGCTGCTCATCATGTCCAACCCATCGCCTGGCCTTTGCAAACGAGTCTTGAAGCCTGTTCGCTTACAACTTTGGGCGCTTGCTTCTTGGATCAACCCGTCTCGAGAAACAGACAGTCGCTTCTGCAGGCCTGCGCGGATTCTGGTGCAGACACACTTTAGACTATTCGGCGACGTGGATAACATCACTCCATTTATACGCGATATCCAGTGCAAAGGCTCACTTAGTGGAGAGGAGGGCCTCAAATGGAAATATCGGCTCTCATCCAATGGCGGGATAGAATGCACTCAGCGTACCTTTTCCGAGCAGAGTCAAGAGATGGACCTAGACTGGGGAGAAATCGAGCACAAGTCGGCCACGCTGGTCGAGTTTATAAGTTCCGTGTGTGCCACAGAGGAAGTCTCTTCGGTCTTCTTATACCTCCTCCGACGATGGATTCAATCAGCCGGCAAACAGAGCGGTGGCTCAATCATACAGGTCGTCACTCAGGAGGAAGATGCGAGCTCTACTGTTCAGGACTTAGTCGACGTGACTCTACTTCAAAAATTCATGGACAAGGCCCCGGAAAAGCTGATCAGCCACTTTGATCAACTGCTCGAACTCATATCCCATGTGCTGCGAGCCGACAGCCAGGCGCCCCTCGGGGATGATATCATTGCAGTTGTACTCAGTTTACTAAACCTGGTAATTACAGCGCCAACGTTCCAGAAATCGGACATCAACCCAGCTGAGCTGGAAGTTGTGGAGGAGGCACTGGCGCGAATTGGTCGCGAAGATCGAGGCGAGGCATCTACCACTGCGAACAACCTGTCGATGCTTCTCAAGTACAGGGACGATGTGGAAAAGCCAGACGACAAGACAGCCGCTCCTACTGCGCGTCAGATTGAAGACCGCAGGACTTATAATCTGGCGATGAACTATATCACTGGAGATGGCAACCCGCCGCCGGTGGTTTCCGAGGGCCTTAACCTACTATCCAGCCTGATAGTGGCGGAAAGCCCAATATTGGACATTGCAGCTGTCACAGTGCTTATGTCGAATCTCCTGAAAGAGAACGAGGACTTTATCAACCTGCGAGTCATCAAGATATTCACGCTGTTGGCGAACAAGCACCCTAGGGCGACCATGCAGGAGCTTCTCGACAATTACTTGGATGCACAGGAACGGTTGAACACAGACACGCGTCTCCGATTCGGCGAGGCGATTCTCCAGGTCATCGAGAGATTAGGGGAGACCTTTACAGGAGAGGTCGCTCAGAACACGGGAGAAACTATGCTGTCGATTGCCAGCAGACGGGGTTACAGGCCAAAGACCATGGCCAAGCAGGCACGAGAGGAACGGCTGAATGAACTGAAGAGGAAAAAGGCAGAAGCAAGCGGTGAAGTAGACGACGACATTGACATGGAAGACGAGGAAGAAACTCCAGAGCAGGCGGCGAATAAGGAGATCTTGGCGCAAATTGTCCAGGGGTGGGAGAGCAAAAGGGGCAGTGAGGACGTTCGAATGCGGACCTCGGCTCTGTCCATCTTTGGAAACGCCATGGAGACGAACATTATCGGCATGGGGCCGACTTTGGTCTCAGCCGGCGTTGACCTCAGCATCAACGTCCTCGCCATGGAGCCGGAGCTGGAAAAGGGCATACTTCGGCGAGCGGCCATCCTCGTCATTCTCAGTTTCGTAAGAGCTTTGGACAAGGCCAAGGAGTCTGGCCAGAAGCTGGGGTTCGGGCTCACAGATCAGAGCCGTGAGGACATACAGAGAACTCTCGAGTACATTGCGGCAACCGATAACGACGGCCTGGTGCAGCAGCACGCACGCGACGTGGTGGAAAGCCTCGAGAATTGGGGCATGGCAAGTCTGTTGCCGAGCCAGGCGGAAGCAAGCGCCGTGCCTGGTTTGACAAGATTAGCGGGATTGCACGTCAACCCAGAGGGCACCCTCGTGGATGCTTCTGGACGACCACGGCCAAGGATAGAAGAAGTGGAATAATGGGATATGGAGGCGTAGAAGTCGTTGGCATCTCATGTCCTTGCTCAAGCCCCGCCAGAACAGATTAATAGAGTCGTAATTAAACGGCGTTGTCCGTAAATGGACGCATGAAGAGACCGATGTGCCTTAGAACCGCATACATCTGGGCAGACACGCGAGACGCTTGCCTGTGAAGAATGACACTCCGCTAAGGCGCAATCTCAGTGCAAACGGTGGCAGCTGTCCAGCCCAAGATGGCTCACCGGGTACCACAAGGAGTTCCTGTTCCCGAGGGGCATTTGGGTGCGCGCCTGGAGACTCGGTGGTGGAGTAACCGTCACACCGTGATTCGTACTCTTGCAGTCGTGGCCTACTCGAAGAACTCCTCACACCAGTGTCCCTGGCGTACGAACCAGGCACATCGGACCGTCACCTTTCCTACCAATCTGATAACAACACAGGAACAAACGAAAGCGAAGACAAGGGCTGGCGTGGCCAGATGCGAATACGTGTAAGCTCGTACGAGCAGATACTTCGTACTCCGTACCCAAGGAAGCCAAGGTACCTGGCCTGCAGGTCTGCGACGAAGCGAAGCAGGGAAACTTGCTCGCTGTGACGCAGGGGCCGCTTGCGTGTAGTATCTCAAACGTGTTCTGGAGAATAAGGTTGGCTGGCCCGTGCCTTGAGGAAACGTGAAGCGAGCGGTCGCAGGAACACTATTGGCAACAGTATTAGATACGGGGTGATACAGGAACGGTTCGGAGCTTGGCGAGGTTGACTGACACCGCGCCAGACTCAGCCCGGGTCAATAACTCGCAACTTTCGGCTTTGGCTGTTATCGGCGTAGCGGCATGACGAGTCGAGCGATTACTGACCCTGAAGGCGCGAGTTAAAACGAGTTGCCAGCAGCTGGCCGTTTCACAAAAAGGCACAGCGGCAGGGGGGCTCGTCTGCGGGGGCTGCTCTGTTCCCCCAATCCGACGGGGCGGACGTTGTTCTGGGAATGTGACGGTGAACATGGCCCACGACGACAGCAGGCAGAGGCCTAGCTGAATGGCGTCCTTGAGCGAATTAGTGAGATGCGATTACGCACGAGATGCTGCAGCGTCGAGGCGTTGGGTTGGGGAATGGCAATCAAACGAACTCGGACGAGCTGCTGCGTAATAGTACCTGCTTGGCAACAACCCGCACTAACAGCAGGCGGTTACACGGATCCAAGCGGTGGAAATGAACAAGAGCCAAGGCATAGAATGACTGCATGCTGCATTGCATGTTGGGCGGTGCAAATTAAGGGCCCTGCTGGTGTTTTGGTCGCCGCCCCGAAAGAGGTCGAGCCAATGGGAGGCGGCGGGCGAGATTGATTCGGTCGAGGGTTCGGGCGACGGACTTTGCCCTCATTTGGAGGGTCTGGCCAGGGAGGGCTGAAGGAATCCGTTGTGTGCGATAGTAGCATGTTGCCAGGGGTTTTGCATGCAGAAGCCGCCAGAAGAAGACGATGGTGTTGAAAGGGGGGGGGTTGAGTGAGGCAAGGCCCTGATGATTGTGGGATGCTCTGTGCCTGCCTCTTGAGCTGTGAAGATTACTCACCCCTTCACCGCCCACCACCCTTTGATTACTCAGGCAGGCAACTCAAAGGCAGAAAACCCGAGCATCGAAAATACCAAGCAAGGTCGAGAAGATTCCCATCAGCCGTTCTTCCGTCTTCCCACATCCTTCGGGTCAGCCCAGCGCCACCGCGAACCCAACGCCCAGCTCGCCGAAGCCCGTCGACAGGGCAAATGCGCCGATGGAGCGACTGATTGGCTGCGGGCGTGTCTCAGACGCTGATGCGGCTCCGGCCTGGCGCTGCGTACCTGCATCGGCCCCTGGACTAGCATGTATTAGCAGGCTCTTGGGCAGGTCTAGCGCCGCCAGATGGTGACATCGAGAACGGCTTCGACTCCGTCAGGGGGCAGCCTTGCAGGCATGGATCATGGGAGGAGGACAGTCAGCAATCAATTGACGCATGCCGGAGTGGTGCGGACAGAGGCCGGCCGAGAGAGGTGGGAGAGGAGTCAGAAGTGAGAGTGGAAGGATGGGTGCGTGGGAGGGCGTGGGGACCGGCATTGTGATGAGGGGGGCGTTTGTGTGTTTTGTTTGCCTGGTGATGGGGGATGGCGTTTGCCCAGACGACAAAAAGGGCCCGTATCCAGCTCTCGTTACCCGGCCTCCTCTTCTCCTCTTCTTTCTTCTCTTCTCTCCTCGTCAAGAAGTGTTCGTTTGTGCTCTGTCCCTGTTTGTTCCAGCTCGTCGGTTTGACAGCTACTTCCACTCTTTACAGCTCTCTCGGAAATCAAGCCAGCCTTGTTTCCTCCCATCGGCTTGACGTCGACCGTCCACTCTCTCTCCAGCATTGTTTATAGAAGCGTGAGCAAACTGAGTCTGCCACGTTGAAACGGAATCGATCATCGCCCTCGTCAGCTTATCAACACCAAACACCACACAACCAGCCATCAAGATGAAGTCTGCTGCCGTTGCTGCTTTTGGCCTCTTCGCCAGCCTGGCCTCTGCCAGCCAGCCGATCCGCCACCTGCACTTCCCCAGGTCCAACACCACCAGTGTTGCTGTTGACGATGCTGCTCCCACGACTCTGACCGTCATCGCCACCTCGGTCCACACCGTCATCAGCTGTGCTCCCACTGTCACCAACTGCCCGGCTCGCCTCAACTCGACCGGCGTGGGCAGCCTGCCCGACTCGGCCGTCACTCCCGTCATTGTCACTGACACCATTGTCTTGGCCACCACCGTCTGCCCCGTGGCCGAGGCCTCGAGCATCTCCTCCTCGCTCCAGGCTGCTCACTCCTCGGGCGTCATCACCGGCTCTACCATCAAGGGCACGCCTCCCGCTGCTGTCACTCCTCCTCCCAGCGCCGGTGCCAGTGTCACCGTCTCCGATGTTGTTACCGAGAAGACCCTGACCTACACCATTGGCAAGGGAGCTGATACCTCCGTCGTCACCACCACCATCAAGGCCACCACCCAGCAGACCATCACGCTCACCAGCGTTGTCGGCAACGGTGGCAACGCTCAGCCCACCACCACCACCACTGCTACCAGCACTGGCACCACCACCGTCACTGTTGTCCCCGAGCAGTCTGGCTCTGGCAGCTCTGGCTCCAACACTGGTGGTGACGTCCCCCCTGCCAACGGCGAGGGCTCTTGCGCCAACGCCGCTACCGTCACCGTCACCGTTGCCAAGGAGACTGTCACTGTCCCTGCCTCGACCGTCTATGTCACCATTGCCCCCAGCTCTTGTGACTCTGGCTCCGCTCCCGCCGTTACTGACAAGGGTGTTGAGAACGGCTCTGGCAGCTCTGGCTCTGGCTCTGGCTCCGACTCTGGCTCCTCCGGCTCCGGCTCCGGCTCTGAGGGCTCCGGCTCTGAGGGCTCCGGCTCAGAGGGCTCTGGCTCCGAGGGCAGCGGCTCCGATGCGGCGGCTACCACCCCCTCTGCCGTCATCAGCACCCCCTGCCCTACTGACCTGACCACCACCGTCCGTGCCACTGTCACTGTCCAGCCCTACCCCGTCAACAACGGCACTGCCCCCACCGGCGTTGCTCGTCCCTCTGGCTTTGCCCGTCTCCGCCGATAAAGGGTTACTCCTTCATCGGTCAATAGCCTTGTAACAACACTTGTACAATCAAGGGTGGGAAAATTGGATCAAAACGGAATCTCGAGCCTGGGCTAGCTCCAAGACAAGAAGGACGCACATGATGGCAACTTCAATAGATCATGGTCCAAAATAGAACAGGGAATTTCGAATCAGGGTTTCTCTACGCTGTTGCATGATAGACGTTTTGGATTCACGTGGTTTCTACCATCATGGGCTATTTTTCTTTTGTCTCCGGCTTGTGGGTTGGTTTCTTTTGTATTTGGGCAGACAGGCTTTGCTGCTGTGTGTGTGAGCGAGCGAGTGTACTTCTTTGGGAGACACTCCTCTTTTATCATTCGTTTGTGTATATTCGATAGGCTGTTGAAAGCGATATCTCAGGGCAACCTCTTTTCCGAATTGAACGACTTGTGACGTTTATACAGTCTCGGGCTATCATGATGCTTGTGCTAGGTGTGCCAACTTCAAGCAAAGAAGTAATTTGGACGGGTTTGTTGTGATGCTCTCAATGACGTACAGTAACTCATATTCCACATCTTCGTCATCACTACTATTCATACGACTCCATCAAAAGACATCGAAACCACAAGACGCAGTCATGTTCCATCTCTAAAAACTTATCCCTCGCTGACCCATTTCCCTGGAGTGGAAACACCTTTTGACGCCGCCAAATCCATGAATACAAAAACCCTTCCCATATGAATCATCAGGTATGATTTCTTCACTTGGACCTGTTTCATCCAAGTACTACACGATCATACTGCTCTTGACTCAGATGCCTAAACAGAACATCCTGTAGAGCAGCCCGACTGCGCGCCAACTGCGGCACGATGCCGTCTGCTTGTTGAAGATTGGTCTTTATGCTCTCCATGTGGTCGCTGAGTTGGAGAGCTAGAGCCTTGAGTTCAGGATCTTCGAGGTTCTAGAATACATCGACCGTTAGCAACTTCACACAAACACCTTCTTTCTCCCACCAGTATCTCTATGCGATGGAGAGGGTCAAGTGACAAACTTACACTGAACAGCCCGCCAGGAGATGAACTCCCAGAATGATTAAAGTAAACGTCCTGCTCCGCCATCTTCTTCCTCTGCGAAAGCAACATCTCGGGCGTCGGCGCAAGGACGTGCGCCTTCTTCAGCAGCCCGCGATACTCCCTCCCTTGAGCCTTTGCGCTCGACTCCAAGTTGCGCAGCGCCTCGTAGTCCCTCTCGAGCTCCCGCTCCAGCTTCTCCTTTTCCCGCTCCAGCAGCTCGACCGCGTGGAGCGCCGGGTCGAGCTGTCGCTCCAGAGCCTGCTTGGCGTCCAGCACGCTCTCAAAGTCCAGCTCCGTGGCGCGGCCGTCGCTCACGGCGGCGGCGGCGGCGGCGGTGGGGACTGAACCGGCACCAGCTTGTTGCCTCCCGCGGGGAGCCCTTGCGGAGGGCATGCTTGCGGGGGGAAAGGGAATGCCTCGCGCAATCTTGCGCGTGATGCGGTGCGTCACGAGGCGCAGCGCGGCGGAAGTTTGGTTATGGCGCTGCTCGCTGTTGGAGAGGCGCTGGAGGATGGGTCGGTGGGCGAGAGCGAGCATTGACGCGGCGGCTGAGATGGTAGACTCTGGCAAAGGGCTCCATTTCGATTCAATGGTGGACTGCCGGACGCGGTGCACGTGAGGCGAGACGTGAGGGTAGGGCTTCTCGGGAGATGGGGGGAGGTCGTCGTCGTCGTTGTCTTCTTCGGCGGTCACCGCATCTTGGTGAGTTCGGCGCTGTTTCTTCTTTGGTGTATGCGTATCTGCCGCTTGCTCTGACTCGGCCTCGGGGCGTCTCTTCGCGCTGGGAGCAGACGATTCTCCTCCTCCTCCTGTCACTGCCCCTGACGATGCTCTGCCGCTTTTGGGAGGGCGGCCACGGCGTTTGCCTGATGTTGTTTGTGATGGGCTATCGGCAGCCGCTTTGGCGTCATCACTTGGCCTCTTCTGCATCTCGTTGGGAGCACTGATGTCTCGTAGCGATGGCCGTCCTCGTTTTCGCGGCTGCGCCTGTTGCTTCCCCTTTGTTGAAGCGCGCTCCGAAGCTGCCTCTTCTTCCTGCCGCATGGCCTGCAGAGATGGACGGCCTCGTTTCCGCTTGACAGGTATGTTTGTGTGATTCGAGGGCTTGTCTTGCAGCTGGTCTTCTTCCGAGTCTCGTGCAGCGCTACTTCGCTGGGAACTGCTCGGGGTGCCTTCATCTTCTATCCCTCTATCCTTCAACGAAGGACGCCCTCGCTTCCTCTTCTGCTGCGCCGGCGTCGCTTCATCCAAGCTCATCGCCTCCCGGTCCGCATCTCTCGCCTTGCCTTTTAGCGACGGTCTTCCTCTCCTCTTTGCGGGCTTGGAGCTCTCTGGTGTCGGGCTCGGCTCGGCGGAACTGGGAGAAGCTGCAGTTTTCCTTGGCCTGCCGCGCTTCTTGGGGCGCAGCTGGTCGGGCGCATCGGTATCGTATGCCTCTGTCGCATCGTTGCGCTCTTGCGACGCGTCGAGGTCGAGCTTGGACGCGTTGGAGGGGCGCCCGCGTTTGCGGTTGGGAACGGGCGCCTGTGATGGAGGAGATGGGGTTAGCAGGGCTGTGACTTGAGGAGAGGGAAGACAAAAGGGTGGATTACCATTATGTGATGAAGCTTGCGCAAGAAAGTATTACTTTGCTGAACTGAGCTGGATGAGTTCAGTTCAGTGTGGAGGACAAACAAGAACCATCATCAGCATCAATCTTGCATGTAAAGTTGACCTCAAGCTTCCAATCAGTTTGCGACGCCTCTAACTAGAACTGCATCCAGTGACGGCACTTTTTTCTTTTCTTTTTTCTAGCGGGGCCCCAGCGCCATTCGGCCTCCAGAAACCGGGCGCCTTTGGAACCCCGCGCCCGGATTTACAGCACGTTGCAGCACGGCTCTGTTGGTATTAATCGCATAGGTCTCCAGCTATCAGATCGGTCTGATTTATGGTCCCTGCGTCACAATTACCTAGACACAGCCCTTATACCCAGATACGAGTGGCATATTCAACAAGATCAAAGACAACGAAATGGAGTAGCCCTGCTATCATAAGGCTACTGTATCGCAGAGCACTGCACATTGCCATCTATTGGCAAAGCACATGTCAAGAATGAGGTGATCCCCCCCCCTCAAGCCGAACGCCTTTTCCCGCCCAAAAAACTCCATCCACCTCCGCGCGCTAAGACGCAAGCAAACAAAAAGTCCTCAGAGCGCTCCAGGATGGATCTCTTGGCCCTCAGCTTTTGTTGAACTGCTAGGTAATACTAACACCGCTTCATCGTTACGGAGCATGTACAAGTACAGTACAGTGCCTAAGGGTAAGGGTCAAGGCCGAGAGGAATTCTCAACAAATCAGACCGTCGAGCCAGAGCACTCGGCAAGGTACCACCTACCTTACCTTGGATGCGGCAGGGAAGTACCTACAGTAATAGGGCCACATTTCCCGTCTCCAACAAATCTCTTCTGTCTTGCGCTTGGGACCTCTCGAGGTACTAGAGATTCTTAGCATTCCCGCCATCTTCATAGCTCTCTTTCCTCTTCACCTCCTCCTCCTCCTCCTCTTCTTCTTCTTCTTCTACTTCCTCGTCGCGTTCCTTTGTGTACGAGTATAGGCCAATCTAATCGTAATAACATTTCGGGTTTCAACTGATCGGCTTTGTCTCTCTCATCGGTTCCATTACCCTCTCTGCACAATTGTCTACAGCACAGCCCTGTCCATTGGCCGGTATCCAAAAGACTTCTTCCCCACAACAGCACAAACAGCTTCGCCATGCGCTTCTCCGCAGCTGCTCTCGTGGCGGCTCTGCCCGCGCTCTCTGCCGCCCATGAAAATCCCCTCGACCAATACGTTGCCCAGTTCCAGCAGCTCATTGGCAAATACAGCGCCTATCTGCCCTCTCCCAGCAAGTACGATGACGTCGCCGCTCACGAGGCCAAGACGGGGCCCAAGAAGCTGTCCGTCCTGGGCCTGCACAACTGGGAAGAGACGCTCTACGAGCCTGTTGCCCCCGATGCAAAGGTGCCCGTAGAGTGGTGGGTTCTGATCAGCGGCGGCAACAAGACGTGCTATGGTATGAGCTGGCCAGCTCCTTTTGCGTCGACATAAACTTCTTTGGTTAACACACATTCTTTCTCCTAGGCCGATGTGGTCAGGCTGAGGCTGCCTTCAACGAGACGGCAGTCAAGTTTGCCCAGCTCCCCGCGGCACCTCACATGGGCTATGTCAACTGCGACGACCAGCCCATCCTCTGCAACTCGTGGTCCGCCGGCATTGGCCAGATCTGGGCCTTCGAGATGCTCCCCAAGCCGGCCCCGATCGACGTCTACAAGCGGAGGCTCAACCTCACCACCGTCACCTCGGACGAGCTGGTCGCGCTGTACGAGGCTGGCGATAAGAAGGAGTTTACCCTCATCGAGTCGTGGTTCCACCCCTTCAACGGCAAGGCCAAAGAGCTTGGCCTGGCCATTCCCTTTGGCTACTTCCTCTGGGCCTTCAACCTCCTGCCCCAGTGGGCGTTTATGCTCATTGTCTCCTTTCTCAGCCGAAGCATGATGTAAGTTGATTTTCCAAGCATCTCCTTGACCATTCACGCGGCGGTAGCTAACAGCGAAACTCAGCGGCAACCGTGCTCAACAGCGCAACCGACAGGCTGGTGCTCCTGGAGGCGCCCCCGCTGCTGCCCGACCCAAATAATCGAGCTCAGAACTGAAGGAAGAGCTGGCCGAGTTGCCATGGGCTGGACCGGAATATTTGTGCCAACCTCGGGCGCTGAATGATGTGATGTAAATGATTTAAGACGGGGAGCAACCACCGGTGGCTTTTTTGCTGCGCATGATACCAACCTGAGAGCCGTTGGTGTCGTAAGCTTTCGGGCACAATGAGTTATGTAGCTGTTTACGACCAGGAAAATGAAGAACATATGCGAATGAGGTTCAGTCATGATTTGCTCTCGCATGCGTCTTGGAGTGTTTTCAAGCCGTCGACAATCTCGTCCCGGAGCTTGCCGTTGGCCAGTTTGCCGTAGCGGAGGTCGCTCAATCCGCCTATTGTCTGCTGAATGGATTCTTGGAGTGCTGCTTCTTCATCCTCGAGCCTCTTGATCTCCGCTTCGAGGGCCCCAACCGCACCCTCGAGCTCGGGGATGACGGAATGGATGCTATGCGTGGCGCTCTTCAGACCGGAATCGTGGCCAAACAACTGCATCCGTCATCAGCATGCGCATCTTTTCCCTTGAAACCCCCCAAGTAGAAACGGGGAATCAAGCCCAGAAGTTCTTTGCAGCAAACTTACAGCTCTCTCCATCTCGACTTCTCCATCTAGATCCTCCCTCTCCGCCTCTCTCTTCAGCCGCAAGACCTCCTTTCTCATGATGGCCCCGCGCTTCACTTCGTCCTCGATGTTGGCGGAGACGGCGTCGATCACCGAGTTCCTCTGCGCTTGCAGGTCGCGATAGAGGGACCTCAGCTGCGGCGCGTGTTGGAGCTGGCGGGGGAAGAGGAGGACGAACTGGTTGAAGGTGAGGATGGAGGGGAGGGGGGCTGGTTGGAGGAGGTAGCTTGTGAGGATGTCGGATTCTGTGGGTGGCATTGTGACTGCGTTTGCGGATGGGGATCCCACTGTGTTTCTCTTTGTTGCTATTTGATGTGGGATTTAAATGATGGGCTGGTTTGTGACAGGTATTTTGTCAAGAGGTCGCGAGTGTGCTGGTGGCGTATAGATATGTTGAGTGTTTGCAGTAGGTTGTTGTTGACTATGAGTTGAGATGCTGAGGCGCGTCAACGTGAAAGGCATTTGTGGGTCTTGATGCATCTGCTGCTATAAGGTATGGACAAGGTACCTAGGTAGCCTTGGATTGACTGAAAGTGTACCATCAACCAGCACTCGAATCAGTCAGTCGCCTTGGACATTTTACAAGCACATGCAATGTTTGAAGAACGAATTACTCTCTTCCACGAAGATATAAGCCTTTTCAGGCCTTATTAGTCTGACCGCGAAAGCTTGACATCTTCAGAACCTCTGATTGGCATCATTTCGATGCGTACCCTATACCTATGCATCCTGTCGGCGTCGGTTTCTTCAACACGGGCTCTCCACGTTGCTGTTGAGGGATCCTTGATACAATACAGATCGATGAGACTTTGCAATCTTGTCGCACCTGGGCTCTTAGAAGCCGTGGCTTTCATTCGTCTCGGGCCATGATAGTTCAGCGATATGACATTCGGAATGAATCAGGTCAAGTCAGCTATTGTAGGAAACATCTGCCCAATGTCTGAGGACTGAACCCCAGTCACCAGTCGCTACAACATATTGTTATTGTGCGTCTATTGCTGAGGCTCGTCTAACCGCCCAAACCCGACATCATATTTAAATCAACAGCCTCAATTTCGAACGAACATACAGATACCATGACTGTCTCCAAGCCCACTACGCCACGGCTTTTCTTGCTATCCCACCGGTCGAAGGGCACCTACATAACAGTCATTGTGCATTCCACTGAGAGCTTCCAACTGCCCCGGCCTTTCCGAAAGCGCTCATACATCTCCAACGAAGCCTACGGAGTCAGCCACTGACATTTGCTGAAATAAAATCTGCAACTTGCCAGCGAGATCCCGGAGATTTTGGGCAATTTACTCTCTTGTTGGGCGGTTTGTATGTACGGAGTACGGAGTATTCGTAGGGTCATGGGCAGCATGAGATGACACGAGATAGATACTCCGTAGACGCCTACCTTACCTACCTAGGTTGTTACTGACCACACAGCATCAGCCTCAGCATCAGCACCCACATCCGCATCCTGCGAGGTCAAGGATCGGCCATGCCAGGCTTGCCACGGCTATCATCGTCCGCGGCGGCAACGTGATGCAGTTACTAGACTAGGTAGTACGCTCACGGCTTGATGAAATTATCACCACCAGTATTAGCGCCCTTTCTTCGCGAGATCTCTGGGCGCGACCACAACAACGTGTATTGGCCGATGCGATGCATCTTGACCGTCTTACAAGCCAGCCTCGGGTCTGGAAGCTGTCGGATCTCCCTAGAAGCCGGGCCATTTTGGACGGCCACGCATAGCAACTCCGAGTCTGATCTGGGGGGGTCCTGACACTAGTCGCCGGCGATGGCTGGAAGACGAGGGAAGCGATGCTTATGCAGATAAGCCGGACGGCATTGGCTGAATCCTACCTATCATCCTACTACTTGGCACATGTACGAAGAACGGGTGCCTGTGTCAAAACCGTTGAGCGGCTGATGAAGCAGTACATTGGCCCAATTGCTATAGAGCTTGTTCTTGTCGATGGCTTCAGGCTCTCTCTCTCTGGCCGGATAAAAGGATTCGCCAACAGCAAGAATAGCATTTCACCCAAAATCTTGACTCGCCGAGAGCCGAGCACTGCGAGATCGGCTACAATGGAGCTCAACTTTTTTTTTTCTCCTTGTAGGTATTACTACAACCCAATCAAAAGACCCTTATTTCCTAGTCCGTAGTTGGTTTGAGAAGCAACCCACCTTCATGTGGCACGGCTCAGCTCCCCTAACGGATGTCGTGATGCGAGTCCTTTGCACACCATGGGGGATCCATGTTGGCACCTGGTAGAGAACTCGGCTGCTTCTCCTAGGAAGGACATCCTTCTCCGTTACGGCACAGATTCGCCTGGAGACAGAGTTGCTTGTGATAGTCTGACATGCAGGCATGTATCCCGCGTGGCTCTCATGCATGTAGGTATGGGAAGCTATCGGTGTCAGTAACAGATACCTCACTCCTCGTTACATGCTACGCTTACCCGCAGTTCCCCATACAAGCAATAGGTACGGAGTACAGCAAGAAGGGGAGGGGGGCAAGATAGGTGCGGAACGCCGAGGCAGGTCGACCTGATGATGTCCCCAATTGATTTACAAAGAACCAATTGATCCGTGGCGAGGGTTCTGGGTGCTCTATCTCGATTGTGGTTGGGATCTTCGGGTACGAGTACGGGATGGAGCGAGCTCAGCATGCAGAAAATTCTGCACCTCATTCGCTAGCAAGGAAGCTCAACTGCCCCGGGGGAATAATCAGTTTGCCATCCAACTCCGACTTGACTCTGGATGGCTCGACTGGACAGTACGAGTAATACTCGTAAACCAGACAGATGAACTGGCCAGAAGCTCCTTGTCTCCCCCACTCGAGTTCTGTTCATTTCACCGGCTTCCAGGTATCACCGTCTGTAGCGGCAACTTGAAGACGAGTAGAAACGAGTACATACGAGTACGACGGCTGTTGAATGCTGGTATTTTGCATGTGTTAATCGCATTGTCCTCCACTAAACCAGGTCCTAGTCTGGAGGTAGCACCCCGTAGTCCCCATCAATTTTACCTGGTAGGAGTGCCTGTACTCCATACTATCAGCACCTGTCCAAGGTACTCTAGTGCTATCGTCTCGGCGCTGGGGAGGCCATTCGCACAGGTCTGCCCACACTCGCCCACGCGCTAGGGCGGATGTCACTAGTACGCGATACGGTTCCCCCAGGCAAGGATTGATGGCCGGCCCGTCATTACGCACGGCTATGAATAAGAGAAGCGTTGGAGGACCCTCGAGCACCTCCGATGGCGCAAATCGCGCAATCCGGCTGACGCCCAGCCCCCAGCCAAAGCCCAGTGTTTCTCTTTGCTCGAATTGGCCAGGGAGAGAGAGGAAAAAAAACTTGGAGGACACGGCGGATTGATTGCTCCACATGCAGGAAAAAAGACCCGATCACAATAGCCCCAGGCAGAATCCCCGACCGCCTTCGTCTTACCCCTCCCCCGCTCGGCGCTTTTCTGCTCGATTCACTTAATATTCAGGTCCTGCCCGCGCTCGTTCCTCCAACCTTTTCCCTCTCCATCCTCTCCAGCGTGTCCTTTTTACTCTCTCATCTTTTCCATACAAAGGGCTCATTCCTCCTCTTCTCTTCTGCTTCTGTGATATAGGCAGGACCATCTGATTGGTATTACCAGTGAGTACAACCTCCATCCTTCAGCCCTCCCCCATTGGCGTAACGCCCACATGACACTCAGCTCTTGCCAACCGTTCATCTCAATTGACTCTCGTCTTCCTCGCAGCTTCTCATCAATCACAATTCGTCCAGTCCGCATATCAAGACCAATCGCAAAGATGGTTCAGTCCGCAGTTCTCGGTTTCCCCCGTATGGGTGTCAACCGTGACCTGAAGAAGGCCACCGAAGCTTGTTAGTCCCCGTGCCCTGTTTGACCGACGTCGCCCAACACCGAAAACTCTTCTAACCTTGACATGTGCAGACTGGGCTGGAAAGATCTCTCAGCCTGAGCTGCTTGCCGAGGCCAAGAGGCTCCGTCTGGCTCACTGGAAGATCCAGAAGGATGCCGGCGTCGACATCATCCCCAGCAACGACTTTGCCCTGTACGACCAGGTTCTCTCTCACATCCAGGACTTTGGCGTATGTTTGCAATCCGTCCCCAACTCACACCGACTGATCAATTGCTAATTTGTGAAACAATGCAGGCTGTCCCTGAGCGATACACCAAGGATGGCCTTGACACCGTTGACCAGTACTTCGCCATGGGCCGTGGCCACCAGAAGGGTGGCGTTGACGTCCCCTCCCTGGAGATGGTCAAGTGGTTCGACTCCAACTACCACTACGTCAAGCCTACCCTCCAGGACGGCCAGACCTTCAAGCTGACCGCCACCCCCAAGGCCGTTGCTGAGTTCAACGAGGCTAAGGAGGCCGGTATCATTACCCGCCCCGTCCTGGTCGGCCCCGTCTCCTTCCTGCACCTCGGAAAGGCCGACCGTGGCCAGACCGTCGACCCCATTGACCTGCTCGACAACCTCCTGCCCGTCTACGAGCAGCTCCTCATCCAGCTCAAGGAGGCTGGTGCCGAGACCGTCCAGATCGACGAGCCCGTCCTCGTCTTCGACCTGCCTGCCAAGACCAAGGCCGCTTTCAAGCCCGCCTACGAGAAGTTCGCCAGCCTCGGCGACAAGATCCCCAAGCTGGTCTTCACCACCTACTTCGGTGACATCGTCCACAACCTGGACCTCGTCCCCAAGGACATCTACGCCGTTCACATTGACCTTGTCCGCAACCCCGAGCAGCTCGAGACCGTTCTCGGTGCTCTCGGCCCCAAGACCGTCCTGTCTGCCGGTGTTGTCGACGGACGTAACATCTGGAAGACCAACCTGAAGCGCGCCATTGAGATTGTCGAGAGCGCTATCCAGAAGCTCGGCAAGGAGCGTGTCATTGTTGCCACCTCTTCCTCTCTCCTCCACACTCCCCACACCCTCGCCAGCGAGAAGAAGCTGGACCCTGAGATTGCCGACTGGTTCGCCTTCGCCTCCGAGAAGGTTGTCGAGGTCGCCATCATTGCCAAGGCCGTGACTGAGGGCCCTGCCGCTGTCCGTGAGCAGCTCGAGGCCAACGCCAAGTCCATCCAGGCCCGCGCCACCTCTCCCCGCACCAACGACCCCCAGGTCAAGGACCGTCAGGCCAAGATCACCCCTGCCGACTACAACCGCAAGTCTGAGTTCCCTGTCCGTATCAGCGCTCAGCAGAAGAAGCTCAACCTCCCTCTCTTCCCCACCACCACCATCGGCTCCT